TTATGAAAAGGAAATGTCATGAGAGCTGAACGAAAAAAAATTCATTTTGTATAAACTCTGTGTATTCAAAAGGAAAATAAAAGATGTCTAAGTCTAAAAGCTGAGAGTGGACATTAGCTTTTATAAGCAGTAGCAAAAATACAGCATTTATAGGAAATGATGCTTTAGTGGCAAAAAGAAAAGTCCATCAAATGTTTGACGGCCCACCACTGAATTTTAAAAATATAGGGTTGTGTTGAAAAACAACTTTTCAGTTCTGAATCCATTCTAAGGCTGCACCTATTAACTATTTTATTAACAATTAAATACATCTATTTTCTACAAATCTAGAAACGGGTGCTTTGAGTAAATTCACATTTCAAATAAATCTTTGGACTTTAAAGAGAAAAAACTTTACAGCTCGTTCCTAAATCAATAATAAATGGCAAAAACCATAAACAAATATAAACACGTATATTTCTTTAAACAATTTTAAAAATATTTTTCTAGTTTTGTCTAAATAATGCTGAAGGTGGTCATTTTTTCAGGTAATGGCCCGTTTTAAAGCTTATTTAAGTAATCAGATTTTTCAGCCCTAATCACTACTTATCTGATTTTGTAAGATGTATTCATAAAAGAAAAGTGTTTTCCAAATCTACCTCAACATTCAGAATGAGGGTTTGGACATTACAGCCCCCATTAACTGCCATTACTTTATATGCTGATGATTTTTAATATATTACTAGATTAATATGCAAAATAAAAACATAGTCAAACTCAAATGTGTTTTTAAACCAGCAGCCAAAATTAACGTTGAACAAAGAAGAATTGAGTTTAAATCTTGTAGCATTTTAATCCTAAAATCTGAACAGATACCCAGGCCTGCTCTAGTCCATTAAAATATAAACCTGCGGAGAGAAGCCTTAAAGCACGGCTCAACAAAATCACACATTTACTTCTTCCTTTGCATCCGTATTTGATAGTGCTGTCAATCGATTAAATTTTTTAAATCGCGATTAATCGCATCAATGCCCAAGTTAACTCGCGATTAATCGCATTTTAATCACACATTTTTATTCTGATTGAAAATCATTTAAATACTCTCGATGACATACAAAAAATACATACAGGCTAGGTTTGTGCCAATGTTCTTTTTTTTTAATGAAAACAGGTCACAGATACTGATTTATGCCATAGAAACATATGGCAAGAAGATGGGGAGGCATGTAGCAAAAAATAACAAATATGTAGCCAAAAAAAAGGCCCTGAAAACAGGCTGATGTAAAAGACAGTCTTTACAGTTAATACAGTCTTTTGAACAAAGACAAGCATTTTACCCTACTGCTATAAAATTTAGTAGAGTTAACATTAGATGTCAATTAACCAAGGTAATAATGAACAATTTTCAATCAATACATCAAAATCAATAGACCGACATTACTAGATGGAGGTAGTCTATGCTCTAGAAAGTTACTTTTCAGCCTCTTAACAAAAATAAGAACACACACACACCCACCCACCCACACACAGACACACCCACCCACACACACACACACACACACACACGATACCGACCTGTGGCGTACACAGACAGCAAGAGTGCCGTAGCAGATTCCATTTCACCTCAGTAATCAGTTTTCTCAGCGTATTTCAGGTTGCTACTAGTTACCAGACACTCAACTTGTTTGTTGGTGGTGGGGCTTAAAGAAAAGGCACTAGCGTCACCCAGTGTATGAGCGTCTTTTTTCCTTGAGGAGCTCCGCTCTCGAAGCCTATGGAAAATGCATAGATTGGGGGAAAATAGCCCCGCCTTCCCGCAGGCTGCAGCGGGATGTACTTGGAAAATTGTACCAAAAAACCACATAGCGTTAATCTCACGTTAAAAAAATGATCGCCATTAAAATGGCCTCGCGTTAACGCGATAATGCGATAATTTTGACAGCACTAGTATTTGACCAACCAGGGTTACTGAAAACAAGTTCAGGAAGGTTTTACTCTCCTAAAGGTTGATGCTAGGATCTGAACTTCAGCTGAGCAGCTGAGAGGCTCTTGCCTGACACAATGTAGCTTCCATATTTAGCCCATTCAAAATAGATCATGCTTAAAGAGCAGCCCCCCCACCCCAACAATGGATCATGATCCCCTGGGATTAGCCCTCCATATGCTTAACAACACAACAAAAGCCTTAAACAGTTCTCCTCATAGTGATAATAAAAACTGAAGGGATTATCTTTTTGTTTTTATAATATAGTAATATAAAGAAAATATATTAAAATAAATGCATGCTCACATTTTTTCAAAACATCTAACAGTCACTGTTTTAGTAGCTATTTCAGTAGCGACGGGTAACTTGCATGTTTTCCTGTTTGTTTTTTCCCCAGAGCAAATTTTGACAAGTAATCAGTTTGGACCAAACACTTAATATACCTAAAAATACATTAATCTAAACAAATGATTGACTTACGATTGAGACTTTATGGTTTAACAGATTAAAGTTTTTTTATACAAATGATCAGTTCTGATTAAAGGGAATTTCTTTTGCTATTATTTCTGTCCACTAGAGGGTGCCACTGTTCATTCATAAGAAAAGCCTGACTTGTATTTGCAATATATGAAGAATAATAATGGCAGATCAGAGGGATGCTAGAGTTAAAAGAGTATGTGAGGAGATACAGATCGGGGGAAAGACACATTAACATTCATTTACCGCAGCTCAATTTCATTTATCCAAGGCAGCCATATTGGATTTCAATGTCAGAGTTGATTAGAAACCCGGAATGACACGATTTCCAATATTAAAAGGGCATATTTTAGAGAAGTGAATGAATTACTACATGGAATAATAACCATGTTGTGCCGAGGGAAATTATATCGTTTTTGTCCGATTTTTATGAAAAACCATTTAAAAAAAATCCATATGCAAGTTTTATTGTTTTAAAATGTCGCCCAAGATGGAAGCACATGGGAAACGTAACAGATGTGCACTACGGTTAACAGTAGAGGTGAGTATTGGCATGGGAGTTGCGATTCCATACATGTCGCGATACTTGGGTCACGATACGATATTATCACGATATAGCAGTATCACTATATATTGCCATATTTTCCCCGGCTATCAAAATCAAATGATGAGATAAAACAGCAAGTGCTCTATATTTTCATCAGAAAATATTGATTAGGTATTATTATCCATGTTGTTTGGGGTTTTCTTCCACTGTGACTGCCTCAAATACAGATTTGGTGCTGCACGCACAGTTAAAGGGCTCCACAGCGCTTTCTGGCAGAGTGGTGGTGCAGAGGTAGCCCATTTTCCCATCAATGTTTTATGTAACCATTTTTTTTTTTTTGAAAATCGATACTAAGAAGTGAAAGATCGATATTATATCTGGCAGCCGAATATCACGATATATCACCAAAACGATTATTTCCCACACCCCTAGTTAACAGTACACTACAGATAAAAGCACCCTACAAGTCTGAAGGTAAAGGATGATATATGTTTATTACTGTTATCTTAAAGCCGATTAATTTCTCCCACTAATGGGATCTATGCACAGCTCCACTACTTCCTGAACTTCAGCAGCTCTTTTGTTTCCTGTCTTTCATTACTGGACAATCTGATTAATCCATATGTGTCCAACTTGTTACTGTGATCTTCTGACTTCTGCCTGCTCTCGGCTTTACTCTTCTAAGATTGTTCCATCTTCTATTTAGTTCTTTCCATCAGTGCTCCCATTTTCCTCCACTCTCATTCCATCTTCTTTCTATCAGTCTTGATATCTTCTTCCTCTCATCTTCTATAAATCTTACACTATTCTAAAACAATCATGATCCCTTCTAATCATGATCATAGACAAGAGAGCATTCTGTTCAGAAGATTTCTAACATCAACAAAGTGTCTTTAGTCAGAGGCTTCTCCAGATCTGGTGCAAGATAGACCAATACAAAAGATCCTTCTTGCCTAAAGCTGTTAACATTTATACCAACTTTGAGAAAAACAAAACAAAAATATGAGCTACTGAAACATTTCTTTTCCCTTTGGGAAAAATAAAGTATCTATGAAATGAATTAAACTGAATTAAGTCTGAGTGCCTCCTTTCAACTCTGAGACTGACACACACTTATATGTCCAGATCTTCTGAGACTCTCTGAAAAACTATTTTATTTTAATAACTGACCACACCTCCAACACAGTGACAAAAAGCACTCGGACAAAATGATATGTATGGCCAGCCTGTGTTTTGATGAGCCTGGTTTCAACAAAACACGTACCAGAACCGAATGCTGCATTTCTAATAAATAGGCAAAAAGAAACTGAATCGACAGAAGTGAAACTCAGTAGAAAAACTTTGATAATTTTTAGCTCATCACTCAAAAACATTCCTCTAAAAACACCAAAACCAAGCAAAGCAAAATAATCTGTCCTACCTTTACTGTTTTGTTTTTTTAAATCAAAATATCTAAACATCTATTACATCTCTGTTGCTTGCTGTTTGAACACCAAATATGAAACCATGTTTTTGTTTTTGTGGTTTATCATGCTTAATTCTTTACTCACAAGAATAGTAAGAAGTTTTGTATGTAAATGTTTTTCTTTGTGTTTTATTTAGGCAGAAGTTATTTTTTCTGGCAATGTTCAACTAATTTACGCAGACCTAGAATAATTTACTTAGAATTTTCATTTTCCAGGACCTTTATGTCAGTTTATTTAAGGGAGGAAAAACGTCAATAAATAAAATTGATTAATGGTAGGGAGGAGGAAAAAAAGATTTATTATTATTATTATTTCTCAGACAAATAAATTGCACTATAATTTCTTGTAGCTTCATGTTGGCTTTAAAAAAAAAGGCCACTTATCAATTAATCATTAGTCAATCAAAAGGATCACTTAACTTCAGACTAATTAATTGAAAACTTGCATCCCTACTCCAAACATGTTACATAAAGCTTTAAAGCAGCTGATATTAAAGACCTTTATCCATCTATTGAGATCCCTCGTTTTAAATCCGGTTCAGACACCGTTTATCTGTAACGACTTAACTCTCTGTCTTGTCTCCTAGGTTTTCTCTTGGCAACCACACACGCCTCAGTGAAATAATGCAAGGTGAATGGCCCTGAGGGAACCCGTCACAAACTTCACTTCAGCAATCGGAGCTCAGCTGTGTGAAAAAGCAGAACTATGCAGTGGAGACGGCGCCACTGCTGCACGCACACAGCCAAACTTCTGTATCTCCTCTCACTGCTGGGCTTCCTCGTGTTCCTGGTCCACCGATCCGGCATCCCGTGGTGGAGAGGCTACCCTGTGGTGTACGGCGGTACTGTGCCTCACCTCGCCAGCAACAAATGGAACGCCAGCGCCGCTCATAGAGCCTGGAGGTTTGTGATTGTCCCTCAGACTACTTTTAAGGCAGACGGCAACATCAGCTCATCGGAGAGGAATGGCGTTTCTTTTCATCGAGGCAACATAAGCATCGAGGGGAAGCTGACCGCCGACACCAGCCAGAGCCATGGGGGAGTTCTCAATGTTTCCCTGAGCCACGGACCTTTCCCTTACATCATCAACGAGCCGCAGAAATGCACAGAGAACCGACTACCCCCTTTTCTAGTGCTGTTGATCTCCACCGAAGCTCGTCAGGTGGAAGCAAGGAACGCAATCCGGCAAACTTGGGGGAACGAGAGCGTTTTCCCCTCTGTGGGGTTCATCAGACTGTTTCTGCTGGGGAAAAAAGAGGGAGAGCTTGGACTCCTACAGCAGAGGATGGTGGAGGCAGAGAGCCGGAGGCATCATGACATCATCCAGCAAGACTTCCTGGATTCTTATCAGAACCTGACCATAAAGACCCTGATGGGAATGAACTGGGTGGCGATGCACTGCCCAGAGGCGAGCTACGTCATGAAAACCGACAGCGACATGTTTGTCAACACAGAGTACCTCATTTACAAGCTGCTCAGGCCAGACCAGAAGCCCAGGAAGAACTACTTCACAGGTAACAACATGAGAGGCTTTGCCCCCAACCGGAATGAAAACAGCAAGTGGTACATGCCCCCCGAACTCTACCCAGGGGACAAGTATCCCACCTTCTGCTCCGGGACCGGGTACGTCTTTTCCGGAGACCTGGCCGGGAAGATCTACCGCACCTCCCTGAGGATTCGCCGCCTGCACCTGGAGGACGTGTACGTGGGAATCTGCCTGGCCGAGCTCCAAATCGAGCCCACGCCCCCTCCCAACGGCTTCCTGTTCAACCACTGGCGGGTGTCGTACTCCAGCTGCAAGTACAGCCACCTGATAACGTCGCACGGATTCCATCCGAACGAATTGCTCAAGTACTGGCATCACCTCCAGAGCAACAAACACAACGCCTGCATCAACACGTTCAAAGACAGAGCGGGCAGAGCGCACTCCAGACTCCGAGACAAGCAGTTACTGAAACACTGACAAAACCAGCGGACTTCAGTAAAAATACCACATATCTTTGGACAATCCAGTTAATCATGAGATACGATGCTGCTAAATTGTCAATTTTCAACTAATGTTAAACTATTTCTACAGGACTGAGGCAACGCAGAACCGGTGAAATTAGTTCTGTGTTGTTGAATTGGACCGAGGATAAATGTGTCTGTAAAATATAAATGTCTTTGTTGTACAGTGTGAAACGAACATTTCCAACAGAGCAGCCTTGGATTAACTGGTTAGCAGGCAGCTACTTTATGAGACTGGAACTAATCCAGAACCAGCAGTTTCTGCTCCAGCTCTAGCACTCATCAACTCCTCTATAATTTGGGCCAACTTTACGAAAGTAAAAGATGACGAAAAATATAAAATGACAAAACCAGCAGAAATCTATCTCAGTTTTATAAAAGGAGAACTTCTCAGCAAACTTATAAAGCCCCTTTAACACTTACCCAGTAAGCCCACTCATCTACTGGGACCGCTCTAGTGTGAATAAAGCGGTTACATTACCAGGTGGGGAGTGGATTTGCATGTTTACGTTGCAACAGTCCCGGATACAGCTACATGTTTTTAAACTCAGCAACATTTTATCAAGCAAGTAGGCACATTTAATGATGAGCTGTCAAGACTCTGGCTATATATGACAAGCCGGCCTCTACCACTCTTTAGCGACCACGCTAGTTGCAATCACTTACTGAGGCTGACACCAGCAGGGCACCTGTTGCCTGGCAATTAGCCATCATGCTAGATCCCCATTAACTTACTGACTTCTTCAGGCTCCAGCTTGATCAGCTAAAGTTATCTCCCTCACATTATTCCAACAAAAGTAAAAAGAATAAAAAAATCCACTGGACTTTGTGTCCAAGTTTGAAGACATTTGGATTCCTATCCTCGAAGCTTTTCAATTAAAAATGTCAGAAATAGCGTTCGAGGCTTTATAGAGTGGACCAAAAACAAAGCCTTGTTTTGGCTTAGAAACATACAAATTGAAACAGATAATTGGGTCTGCCTCTTTGGAATGGGGGTCGTTCGGGTTCTTTGTTAGGCTGTAATACCCCATACCTGTCTATGTCTCTGAAGAGGGGGTCGTTAGAGGAAATTGTTGGCCTGGCCGAACAGGCGAGGTCTTCTGTTCCCCTGTAAGGAGGTGGAGGTTGCGGTGATACCGGGAAGGAATCAACTCAATTTTTTAAAGCTAAAATCTGAGTCGACCCCCTCTGTTTAAGATTGTTTTTCTTTCTTAACAAAGATGGCTTCCTTCATGCCGCTCTCAAACCACCTATCTTTTTTTCCCAAAACGTGAACATTCTGGTCCTCAAAACAATGTCCTTTGTCCATAAGGTCCCATTACTGCCCCCTGCAGGAGATATTAGGAACATCCATTCCACTGTTTCCTAATACAGTGTAAAAATCTCACCAGTTGATTTACTGGGAGTAATTTGCGTGCTTGAAAGAGGCATCAGACTGAGGCTTTAGTTGGAAATACGGGGCAGATCGGTTTTTTTTCTCCTTTTAGTTTTAATGACTTATGAACAAAATGACTTCCAAAAACTAGCTTTTAATGCAATCATTTGTTTTGGGAGTCAACCTGAATTACACGTGCAACTAAATTCAAGCCGTTAAAGAAGCTGAAAGAACCTGCCAGTGTTAAAGATGGCATATAAGATGTTTACAGTCCCTCTACAGAGGCTCTTATATCTAAACTACGTTTTTACAACAGAATGACATTAAAAGAACCAGAAATATGTGATGTGATCTATTTTTCTTGTTATTATCCCGTTTGTTACAACAAATAATATCGTATTGAAGAAACACAACGCTTCCCTGTTATGCTAATGTTTTTCCTTATTGCATAAACTAAAACTAAAAATAAACTGTTGGTTGTTATTTAATTAATAAAATTGTGTTTTATATAAAACTTTTTGTAATATTTGATAGTTTAGGTGGGTAAAATGGCTGATTGGATTTTCAATGTTGCAGAGAGCTGAGCTAGTGGTAAAACAGTGATTAAGTACACATCTAAGAGCAGAACGAGACACTGAACTTTTCTGATAAAAACATTACAATCATGAATATTCTGGATCACATGTTTATGAGGGGGGGGACCAGTTTTGGCCTGAAGGTAAAGGTTTTGTTTGGTCTCTCTCCAGAGATAATGCTGGATCATAATCAGCACCGCCTTAAGATATTAGATCAGTTAAGGCTTTAAAGTCAAAGGGAAGCGAGTGTTCCAAAGGTGGCATTTCTGAATTGTGGTGCCAGACTTTACACGAGTGAAAAAGTGAATGTGATTGGTCGATTATCAAGGGGGCTGGATTGTTGTGGCTGCAGGAAGCATTTTTTTGGTTACGGGCGGTGTCGTGGCAGCATCTTGCTAACCAGTTAGAAACTTAGTGCTAGCAGGTTCCCAATGGGAAATTCCATTGGAACCAAGTAGCACTAAATTGGTGACTTAGAAACGACACTGTCAAGGAACGCTATGGACAGAGGAAACATGCAAGAGGAGGAGAGTTTAGTGTCGGAGGTCGTGGATGAGTCTCCTCCGTCATAAACTTTTTATTTAGAGGAGGAAAGCGGGAAGAAGATGTTGCTGAGGAGGACGCCAGGGCGGCAGAAGCTTGGTTTGGTGTAGAAGGCTTCCAGCCGTCCATGTTTGAGCCCTTGCCTCGCAACGCTGCCAGTTCTGTTAGCTCTACGCCTGCTGAAGACACAGACGTCCATCCCCGTGAACACTGGGACTCAATGGGAGGGAAGGAAAGGATTCTAATTTCTTATTTCAACCGTTGCGTATATTAACTGAGACATATGAATCAAAAAATGACGAAAAAAAATTTGACAGATGATCGTTGATATACGGCCGAATTTAGGTGTACAAGCTGATGTATAACTAACTGGCCTGCATAAGATAAAAAAAATAATAAAAACAGATAAAAAAAAAATTTCTAAATTGTGGGAGAATATAATCTGATAAAGAACACATTTATATACATGTTTAAGCCAGAATGATTTGACATTTAAATATGATTTCCCCATCCCTTTAAGAACCCGATCCAAAAAGAATACACATGATTTTCAGGATGAACTTATCAAACTCTGATCAGGACTGTTATGAACAACAACAAGATATATGTGGCTAGATTTTGCTTTCAGTGTACAGTGATAACGCCTGCTGTAAACAGCTTCGCTGCTTCTTGGAGCAAAGATGGCGCTGCTCAGCAATACGATGTTCAAGATATTGAGACATTCTCATTGTTTTGGGCTTTACTCTGCAGTGATAAGCAGATAAATTTAGTTTTCTTATTTTGTATCTTTTCCATTCACAGCAGAAACATGTTGATTAATGTACGGTTGTGGTTCTGAGGCTAGAACTAATTGCAATGTGGCTTCAATGAAGCTCTTCTTACCGTCACTGACTTAAGCGTCATGCCGTGGTAAGTGCCCATGGTATCGATTTTGAAACCCTCCGTTTCTATAAGATAAGAAAGGCCAATGAGCTGCAGGTAACAGAGATACAATGCAGGCTAATAATACAACATTTAAAGATCTATATTCCTTTAAGAAACAAAACTAAATAAAAATAATTTAATCTCATTTTACAGCATTGTCAGTTTCCTGGCTGCTGGAAAGTTAACTTTTTTTGGCTTTTATGGAGCCATGCAGCATCAGATAAAGCATTTACTTGCTTATAATGCAACGTCAGTGTGGTGATGTGACTCATAAAGAAGGTGAAAGGGGTTCTGTACTACACGCAAAGGAAACCATAAGGCGGAGTCACCTTCTTTTCCTTTGAAGCGCTCCTGATCGTATCTGTTGTAGGCTGCTGGGACAGGCTGCTTGTTCCTTAAAGACGGGTCCTGCATAAAAAGGGTTTCACTTTATCAATGGTTTTGAAACATAATCTCCACTCATCCTGACAAATCCTAGTGTTGCTTCAAAAACCTAAAACCTTTCCAGTTTTAAACAAAGGGATTACCACTTGGGTGGCGTTCTGTGCTGGTCTCTGCTCTGGCGCTCGGCCTTCTTCTCTGGCTTTCACCGACTGAAGAATGGCAAAGATGTTCTTCGAGAAGTTCTGCATTAGAGAAAAAGAAGTACAGAAGAAATAAGCATTCCTTACAAAAAAAAGAAAAAAAATTCTGCATACCACTTTAAAATAAACCAAGTGTCAACTAGAAATGACAAGTTAATAAACCCATGTTTAAAAAAAAAAACATTTCTGATTTTTGAAAAAGTGTGTAGTTTTAATGTAGAAGGGTTGCAACTTATGATTACTTTCTTAAACAATTAATGTCTTGATTATTTTTTTAGCCCAACAATCAGACAGCAAGAGGTGCCTTATCGAAGATTTTAATGCAAAATTTAAAGCAGAGGACGCTTAAAAAAGTGCCACTTTAATTGTTTTAGACAAAGATTATTCACAGGCAAAAGGGTTTTTAACCTGGAATGCAAAATATTTCTATATCTTTTATAGTGTAAGCATAACTACCCTGGGTGGGTTTTTTTTTTAGCTAATAGCATGTTTTAAGATTTCTATACTCCACTTAATTATTTTAAAAATCAATTGATCAGAAATAAACTGATTATCAGAAGGAATTAGTGAGGTGATTATACGCTTGACACGTGCATATGGTGGAACTCCCTCAAAAATTGTATCAAAGTTGTATAATAGTCTCCAAAAATGCGATGGCAGAAATTCATTCTATGTTAAAAAAAAGTGGGAACGAGAATTCAACATTACATTAACTGGGAGTGAGTGGTCCTCCATGTGTAAAACACAACAATCTTCAACCAGCTCAAGAAGATGGCGAGAATTTGGATGGAAAAATCGAATACATTTTTTTTTATCACCCCACATATAAAATCTAAACAACTTAGTCAACAACAGAAATGCTGGAGAGGGTGTGGACATGTAGATCCCAATCACTCCCATATCTTTTGGTCATGCATTAAACTGCAGTTATTCTGGAACAGTGTCATTCAGACAGTAGAGGAAATTTTATTCTTATCTATACCCCAAGATCCGAGCTTTGTATACCTAGGACTTATGTCATATGAAGTCATTGTAAAAAAAGACATTTACCTCTGCAAAATATTACTGATTGTTTCCAAAAAGGCATTGACAAGGAATTGGTTGAAAAGTGACCCACCTGGGCTTGAACAATGGCTAAATATTTTAGACGAACTATACGCCATGGAAAAATTTACTTTTCGTCTGAGACTTAAAGGAGGAGACTTTGAGAAAAAATGGCAGAAGTGGTCTATGTTCAAGGTTAAAACCCAACCATAAGAAAAAGAAAAAAAAACTTTGGAAAATATGGTAATGTATGCTCCCCCCAGCTTGTTCTTTGTTTTTTCTTCTTGTTTTTTCTTTGGTTTTTGTATTATAAAAAACACAAAATACAGAGTTGAAAGAAATAAACTGATTAATTGCTTCAGCCGCAGTAAAAACCGAAAGCATTAAAGTTAAATGAGGTTTAATTCCTTTATAGAGTCTGAGTTTTATCGCTTAGATATACTAAAAGATACCACAAAAAAAAAAAAAGTCTGGAAAGGAAAACCTTTTTCATAATTATCCCAACATAAGAAAACCATTTTATCAAATGTCAGATTTTCTAAGACTGAAGAAAAAAAAGGGTGAGAAAAAAAAAAATATATCCCAATGAGACATTTAATGTTAAACATAAAACTAATGATGCTGAAAGAGCTGCAATTGAAAAGTTTTTTGTACCGCATTTTAATAATAAAATATGTGGAAAATATCAAACCCAGACTACACTATTTAAACCTCTGCAGCCACCTAGTGGTCAGAGCAGGAACTTTTTGGACCATTTGTGCAGCTCCTCTCAGTGTGGCTCCGCTCTGCTACGGTTTTGCTCAGCAGCATTTCTCCCAGCGTGGGCGGGAACAGATATTTATCACTGCAGCATATGTGAAGCTGCTGTCAAGCTCCCTGTGTGGATATTACATAATCCCCATTTAACAGAACATTAAGTTCTGATTTGGCGTTTCTCATTCAGCAAGCCCCTTAGATTCTAGAAGAATCCAATCTCCTGGGGAGTTTTCTGCAGCAACGTCAACATGTCCTGTATCTATAGAGCAGAACTAGAAACACGGAGCCAGTAGGGAGGGAAACATTTCTCAGATGAATACTGATAACAGTAATCCAGTGATGGCTGCCGGGGTGAATGTGAGGTTAAAGGTTCTCAGGAAGATGCTTTTATGGTTCATCTTGTTGGGACATAATGAGGTTCTGACTAGAGCTGAATGATTTGGATAAAAATTGCGAGTATTTTGGTCTAATATTTCAAATGCAATGTTATTTCGATTTTCCTTTGCACCAACTAAAAGCTGGTAGATGTTTTATACATGAGTTTCAGTTTTTTGTGAAAGCTTGAAAGTAGATGTGAGGGGAAACTAGTGCATTAAGAAATTTTTATCTTACAGTGACAACCCCACCCCCTCCAAAAAAAATAAAATTATATATATATATATATATATATATATATATATATATATATATATATATATATATATATATATATATATATATATATATATATATATATTAGGGCTGCAACTAACGATTATTTTAAAAATCGATGAATCGGACGATTATTTTTTCGATTAATCGATGAATCGGACAAAAAATATTTTTATATTAACCTCTTTATTCCAAAATAAACATTATAGACAGAACAAACAAGCACACAAGTAAAGGTTGCTCATTAACTGTACTGGTGCAATATGAAAAATAAATGTTTGTGTTAAAACTATGCAAACTTACATGAGAAAAGTAGCTGTACATCCACAAAATATAGGCTACTTTGTTTCATAAAGCGCAAAAAAAGACAATTCTGTTTTTAAAAGCCTCTAAGGGGTTCAAACAATAGGCCGCCCCATTTCAACAAATGAGTTTTTTTTAGACTAGAAGAGTTCTGCCTTTTAAGACAGGAAAGTACAGCAGTTAAAGTTGCTACTTGAGAAAATAGTTAACCATAGAGATAAAAATAGCCCTGTGATTCAAATTATAAATTGTATTTGGAATAAAAATGAGAGAACTAGGGGTGCTAAAAAACACATCCTCCAAAGACAGATATTTACATGGGAATGTGGCAGATAATTAATTGACATATTACTGATCTTGCTGGATTTTATTCTGTTTTACTTCCATAAATTGCAGGATCATCTTTACTTTATCTTCGCCAGAAGATTTAAACTTTAAAAGCCTTGCCCTCATAATTTGCAAGTTAATTTATTTATAAAGTAAATATAAACGCTGCTTAAGCTAATTCAAATGAAATTAAAAGTAAAATAAGTAGCCAACCTTATCACTGTCTGTAACCTACTAACACGGTAGGGGTGGGTATTGGCAAAGAAGTCACGATTCGATTCGAATCACGATTCACATGCCACGATGCGATTCTATCACGATGTATCACAATACTTGAAATATTGCGATGCATTGCGATATTTTCACTGAACACTGTAAGAAAAAGATGCAGCTGACTGAAAGCAACTGAATTCATACATAGCTGTATTTATTGAAATGACTTTTGGAGGTGTTGCCATGAAAACAAATACTGGACCGAAATATTACTATTACTGGCGTGGACACACTGACAAAAAGATCTTAGGATTCATCAAACTTAAAATAACAAAATGAGGATAATCAGTGCCGTTTACATGGCCTTAGTGGTCCTTTAAACCAATTAAATCAAAACATTCAAATGTATGACATTTCCCCTTTTGCAAATTACGTGCATCATATCAATTTCGTTTTTACCTTCTTTGTTTTTAAAGCCAAAATGCATCCAAGCATCTGACTTGAAATGTGATGGAGCCGGGGGGGGGGAATTTTCTCAGTCTCCTCCATATTTTGTTTACGAATGACTCGTCTCAGTATCCCACGGCCGGACATGCTTGTGACACAAAGCAGCAGGCCTCAACACATTCGCAGCGACATCTGCTGGACTGGAAGTTGTATTCCGATTGGTTTGATTGATGTGCGCCAACCATTAATGTATTTTATTTGTTCATTTTTTTTTATAATAATCGATTCTTGCCTTCAAGAATCGATGCAGTAGATCACAAAAATTAGAATCACGATTCATCGATTTGACGATTATTTTGCACACCCTTATAACACGGTAAGGAAAGCATCAGATGAGCTACCTGAGAAACTAACGTTACGTTTCCCCACTTTAAAACCAAACAAACATGGTGGTTCCGTGCCATGTTAATTTCTTTTGAAAAAAGTTGCATGTTATCACTTTTTTCGCTTTACAAAGCGCAGGCTATTTTAATTATTGTGATCAATTTGCGCCGTCAATCCCGGTGCATGCGCGCTTCATTTGCAGTCTGGACGCTGAGGCTCTGACTGAGAGGGACTCCTGCGGGAAAACGCGGTTGGGGTGGGGGATGCGCCCCACGGCAGAGTAGGAACGATGCATGCTTTCACGTAAGAGTCTCCAAAAGCCGCCAGTGACACCGAAAAAAGTCGCCAGATTTGTCGCTAGTCGCTTTTTTGAAAAATAGTCGCTGGAGGGGTCTGAAAAGTCGGTGAGTTGGCAACACTGCACCTGCGGCGCTGACTCGCTCTGCCGTATTTTTTTTTCTTCCTCTTTCAGTCAAGAGGCAGTGATGACGGCGCGGCGGATGACGCAATAATCGCACGACAAAACTAATCGATGATGAAATTCGTTGCCAACGCTTTTAAAAGTCGATTTTTATCGATTCGTTGTTGCAGCCCTAATATATATATATATATATATATATATATATATAATCTCCATTCAATGAATTCAGTCAAATTTTTTGTTGTGTGCGAAATAAATACTTTTTTTTTGTATAACGCCGCAATTTTGGTTTCCCAGAGCTTCCGTAGCTGGAGTTTTGTTCCCACAGTGCCATTCGACAAGCGATATCAAGTTCACCGGTGAGAGTGGAAAATGGTCCAGAAAAAAGGAATAAAATCATCCTATGTTTGGAACGGATTTGGGTTTACTACAACAGACCTGGAGCAACAAACCCCACGCTGCAACATTTGCCTAAAGGCAGTCGCAGTTGAAGGCAGCAGCATTACAAACCTTTTCAGCATCTTAAACCAAGGCATGAAGCAGAATAAGAAAAATGCCAGTCTCTCTGGGATGAAAAACCCTAAACCTCAGCTAGAAGCCTGGGTTGGAAGGTGAGGAAAACAAACATACCAAACATCAACTGGAAATGTTTGTGGGAGCTAGGGTAATTAGCAAAACTGTTAGCATTAGTTATAAGGATGGGACTTTTTTGATGGTAATAAATAAACTTTTCTCATCATTGAATGTTTTAATTGCAAATATGCTAGATTAGTTTTTATCAGTTGGACCTTACAGACAAATGCAAAATAACAAATTTAAGATTGGATCTATACTACGGCCTGAGGATCACTTCAAAGGTAGGAAGTCGAATCTTTATTTTTAAAAATTCTGATTTAATACGCTGCTATATCTTTATCAAATGTGCTTTGCTGCTGATTATTTCCATAAAATTAACTTGGTGGTTGAATTGTGGAGAATCTACGCTTTCTAAGACTGTATAACAAGTCTATATTGATAAAAGTTTAATCGGTGCCATTTAAAGCGTACGGCTGTGTTTAATGTAAATATGAACAACGGAGCGCCGATGATCGGATGGAAGTTAATAATAATCGTAATTTGTAAAAAATTGTAATTGGAATAATAAAAAAATTTTGATTTTATTTTTAGGCCATATCGCTGAGCCCTAGCCCTGAAAGCTTGATTTTGTACTGTAACCTTTGTGAAAAAAAGTGCTTAGTTCTACTCACATGCGCGGACTGAATGCTAGCTGCAACTCCCTCTACCTTTCTATGTGGCAGAAAACCCACTTTAACTGTATAACTGCCCCCTAAAGAGCTGCAGTGACACATTTTGTTTATGTCTTTTGTTAAATCTAATGCAACCAAAATTAAGTGCGATAAGAAAAATTGCATTTAGTTAAATTTGCTATTATATTGCAAATGCAATGAATTGCCCAGCCCTAGTTCTGACCTTTCCACTGCTCTGGAGGATCGTCGTCCTGGTCCTCCAAACTCTCTCCCTGCTGACGATATCTCTGGTGACATCCACCTCTGCATCCACGAAGCTTCTCTGCTTCAGCGTGATGTCATCGTCTAGATCCGTTTTGATGGTCGAACGTTTCTTGGCCATAATCTTGGCTTTGATGGCTGCGATTTTCTCCACCGACATGGCCTCAGAAAGTGATCTGGATGAAGATGAACAAGATTTACGGTCTCTGTTTTCAAAGAATCTGATTTATTGAGTTCGGTGTAAATCCCTTAATGTTTTTAGATATAAACATTGACATATATGGCATAGTACCTGATCTGATCTGTCTGCACGATGCCTTCTTTGTGGCCTTCCAGACGTGCAGCCAGACGCTCCTTATCCAGACGCACTCGTTCTGCATCCTTAAGGTCAAAGCAATACCAGAAGTTATTGTCATTTCTTTGAAAATGAGTTGCCCATAAAACATCCAAACATGACTTATTTTAAAATGATAAAACAGCAGCCATTTTAACTACTTGTATCAACTCTAAAGGCAAAACTGCTTTACTTCTATTACTAAATCCACCTCATAATAAAATAAAGCTCTTTTTTGGTCCAAATTCTTGTTTTGAAGAAAATATGAATATCTTAAAAGGGATACCATATAGTGAAATGATGTTTCTTCTGTTTCTTTTAGGCTGCAAACAAATAAGAACATAGATTAAAAGACTTCTTAAAATTAAAAGACAATTGAGGGGAGTGTTGGTCTAGTGGTTAGAGCTAGTGCTCTGAGAAGGATGCAAGTAGGCAGTGAATAACCCAAATTCCCCACAGTCTGCACTCTTTGTCCCTGAGCACGACCCTAAACCCCTCACTGCTCACTGGGTGCCAAACAATGGCAGCCCACTGCTCCGCAAAGGGATGGGTTAAATGCTGGTCACATTTCTCCACTTTGAGATCAATAAAGTTCAATTATTACCACTATTATTATCTTAAGCTCCATATCTCTATCCCTCATGTTCATTTGAGTCACATATTTCTGATGTAGACGGAAATACATTTTGATTTACAACTTCTGGTCTGTTAACTTCTATTGGTTTCCTATGGAGCTAAACTAGTTTATTTTGTCAGTATTTCGTACAACTACAGCAACAAATTGTTCAAATCTAATCAGGATTTCTTTTTAATTCTGCAAATTCCTTATGTTAATGGAAATATCGTCTTAAGAGGTTTTCTTTCTTTGTTTTATATTTTTTTTCCAAAGTCGCTCATCTATTAATCATAAGTTGATAGATAAGATGGATCAAATTGACACTGTCAAGGAACGCTATGGACAGCGGAAACATGCCAGAGGAGGAGAGTTTTGTGTCAGAGGTCGTGGATAAGTCTCCTCCCGCAAATATTTTTTGTTTAGAGGAGGAAAGCGGGGACGAAGATGTTGTGGAAGAGGACGCCAGGGCGGCAGAAGCTTGGTTTGGTGTAGAAGGCTTCCAGCCGTACATGATTGAGCCCTTGCCTCGCAACGCTGCCAGTTCTGTTAGCTCTACGCCTGCCGAAGACACAGACGTCCATCCCAGTGAACACTGGGACGGAACTCAATGGGGAAGGAAAGGATTCTGGTTTCTTATTTCAACCGTTGCAGAACTTTCTAACTTTTGGGACAATATCATCTGATGAAGATTACATTTATATACATGTTTAAGCCAGAATTATTTTAAATTTGAATATGACTTCCCTACGACTTTAAAAACTGAAGTCCTGTTATCGTAGTAGAACAATCAAAATTTTAAAAAGTATCAATAAAAAGTCCCGTTAACTGAACTTATTTCCCCATATCAAAGTGAGAATACTGCCGTACATTTCAATGAGACAAATGTGTTGTTTAGTGGTTCTGATAGATTTAAACTGGTCTTTTTCTTTGTTTTGTTTTAACTGCATGCAAACATTTTGAGTTTTGTTTAACCTAAACCAATGTCCTAACATCTGGACTTGAACCTTAAAAAAAACTACATTGGGTCTACGCTCCACAGTTGCATCATGATCCATCCCGATTCAAATTCACTAGTGCAGAACTGAAATCATCAGGTTTGCATTTTGTACTGATAAAGCACCGTATTATAAAATAATGCCGAAGAAAAACATGTTTATTTTTCTTATTATAGAAACGTTTAACCTTAAATGTTTTTTGTATGCACGTTAACGCCGGAGGAAGTCAGAACTAACTGATTCTAATAGCATTTGTTATAATGTGAATGAAAATGTTTAAAACATTTAAAACAGTAGTTATGTTTGCCAGTTTGTACCTCCCATAAACACCTATGGGTGAAACTATCCATTAGACATAATAAACTCAAACTTACTTCAATCCTTGGCTTTTTGGCTTCAGAAGATACTTCATCCGCTGCTCTTTTCACTTGGGAGGGAAAAAGAATCAATTTATTACCAAGACATTTAAAGAATTTTTACGGTGCAGATAAATAAAAGAAAAACTATTTTAATAGCTCTTTCCATATAAAAATAGAATAAAAATGAAATACCTTGTGTTGGCCTTTGAAGACCTATTTCTATAGGAGCACTTCTGTCAATGCTCGTCGATGTCGCTGTAAAAGAACATGACTGTATTAGACAAGGTTGATTCTACTCAGAACTTTTACCTTTAATGAACCTGAAAATGAGCTTTTATAAAATATGCACAAATTGCACATCATTAATTAGGCCTTCCTGCTTAGCCATGTCATCATCAAGTAGTACCAGCTAGCAAACAGAAAGGCAGCTATTAATGAAAGGATGCCCTAAATATCAAAAGGTGTAGCAGTTCATCTTCACACTGCTAACGTTTCGTACAGCAAACACATTAACATGAAAAAATGCTGATACATGAATCTAATTTAGTATTTGCTGATAATATTCAAATCAGACGTATTCTTTGAAGTAAACAGAGAAGAGATATTCCTTTAGAAAAGATAAGACATCTTACTGCGCTCTAATTACCCTCCTCAGATGGATTATCTTCAGGGAGTGTTTGATCCAGATCTCGGCTAAATAGTAGTTTTGCCTAACTGAGTTTTTACAAACAGCTCTCATCTTTCTAAAAAAGGAAAAGCCAAGGCTGACCCTGCAGTAATTTACCCCAGAACTTCCCCTGATCTGCCACTAACCACTCTTTGTAAAATGGACCCTGGTGTCTGTTCTCAGTGACTGAGATGCTAAAATCTCCTAGAAAGGTGAGAAGATTGAGCAAAAAGAAGAGTTAAGAAAATATGGGTTAATCAAAATTGATACAGTAAATATTCCTGATAACATGCGACCTTAACCTGAAGCTACCATAAATCCACTGGCCGGTAGAGAAATAGAGAAAAATACCATTTAGTATGAAGCAGTAATGATGGGATATCATTTGTGTTCTCCATTATAATATTGTCTACCCCACAGTCAGCGTGTTTTTGAGGACACCTAGAGGCGACAACCTGCTATGACAGTTCACTTCTACTTTAGTGCTGAAAATAAGTTTGTTGCTTAAAGCAACACCCGCCACCTTTAAATAAGAAAAATTATAATAATAGTCATAAATGACCAGTGTCTGACGTTTTAGATGTTTCCTCATCATAACAGTTAGTTTAAATGGTAGAGATAATAAAACATAGGTATTAACATCAGCTTTTATTGTATTACCTTATAAATATATTAACTTTTTAAAGCTTTATGCTGACAGCTCTGCAGGAGCAGAGATCAAGGCTTGCGTTTAGTGTCCATCTCAATGATACATCTCCTGGATCAGCTTTTCTGATTTGTTGTCCAGCGTCCAGCTGCAAAAGTTCAGATTTCCAGACGCATGGATCTGCGCTTTAGACAATTGAATACTCCAAACATGCTGCTCCTAAAGCGGGAAATGCTACTGATGTCCCCATCATGCCACTGGACCTCTCTACCCTCCTCAATGCTGTACTTCAGACATCATTTGTAAACCATGGTGCTAAAAACACATCTGGTTTGAACGCCCTGTTGCAGTAAGCATACCTATTCAAAACTTGGGGAGTGATGGAGGAGTTAGTTTAATTTACAATCTACTTTATGAAGTTTACAACCCTCCAAGAATGGAAGGGGTCCGCTGCTAAATAAAAAGAGATAAAGAAATGCATCTTAGAGGTTTAAGCTGATAGAAGAGGACCTACCAAACTGAACAGGAAAATGATGCAAGATCAACAACTATTTGAGTTTGGGTGAAAACACCATTAAGTTTCAGCAAAGAGTGTTGGAAGTCTACATTTCCAGGGAAAACATCCAATGTAAAGATGAATGCACTACCCTCCAGCTCTCCCAAACACTAAACTGATTTTTATAAAACAAAGTTTTGGTGTATTTGCACACATGTAATTTATAGTACGACTGAGCTTTAAAGGTGAGAAGAGGCAGCTTTTAGTAGATGGAACAGAAAGAATGAAAGGTCTGAAAAGCATGGCCCATATGATACAAAATAATGAGCTTCCCATACATTCAAGAAACAAAAACTTTTCTGCTGCTACTTACAACTCTCTCCATTGAGGTAGGACAGCAATCCCTTTCGATCCGGTCGTCTGACAACAGGGATGTTCTCTGTCTATAATCAACATGCAGACATGTAATGAATAGACACGCCTTTCACAGGTACAGAGAGATATTTGCAGCCCTGACAGAGGGCTCTAACTTACTGCAGCTCTTCGGACATACGATGGATGCGGCAGATGTACATTGTTCAGCAAGAATAAAATGGAGTCCAAAGTATAGTACTCTTTGGGTTGGCCCTCTTTGCCAGTACTGATGGAGAAAACATCCAAAAGCAAGAAATTAAAACTCAAACTTCTTAAGGAGATCAAATAATCTCTACAATCATTAAACCACAACTTACTAACGTTCAGCTGGCTCTGTTTAACCATAAACAACTATAAACGATAACTCTAAAGATGGATACAGCTTTATTGGCTGAGCCACAGTATGGAAGTCTTCTTCGGAAACTAAAAAGTTACAATTCACAGAATAATGACCAAAAAGATAACTAATATCCCCATGAATCCCCGACTTCATGAAACACAAATCGGAGCTAGCTGGTATCGCTAATTTAGCATCACCTCACTGAGACACAAGTTTGGACGTTAGCTTCTTGAATATAACAAATGTACATAAAGTACAAACAACTATGTCGAGGCAAAACAAAGGGGTTAAAACTGCAGCACAATGTCAATTGCAAGTTATTGACGTATGAAGCTAAAGTAATCAACAATTTAAAGTTCAGAGCTTAGAGAGGAGTTGTTAGCATTTTAGCATCAAGTGGCTAGCCAGTCCAACGTCGTCGCGTAAAGGGAGACACGGGCCTAAATAAAAGGATTTAAATGTGTTTAATGTGCTGACATACCCCCAGATTATGTAGTTGGTCTTGACATTTTTCGGCCAGGAGAACTCTCCAAATATCACCTCATCCCCTTTAGCGACTATTTCCTTTTTCTGGATGTTATACTGACGAAGAACGCTCAACACATCCGCCATCTTCACTCGCCTTCATGTAGTGTGTTTGCGAGGCCCCCGCATATCAACATCATGCAGCCCTGCAAGGTGCCTGATAATAAACAATCTTTTTTCTTTTTTTCCGGTCATTTTTGTGGGAGCCAGTTTTCCCCTACCTACAACTGAAGCTGAACCTAGATGTAATCTGTATCTGGATCCAATCAATATTTTTCTAGCTTAATCCCACCTTGAAGTTCGCTCTTTGGTTCCAAATATGGCAAGTCTTAGACCAAATTTGTCATTTTATGTGCAAAGAGTACATGCAAAACGAAATATCGATGCATAAAGCTTTTCAACAGTGACTGAGCAACTTACAGCAGTGAAATTAACATCTCTATTTATAAAGTGTAGCAGTGATCAGAATAATATGGTTTAAATGCAGTAGAAACATTAAGTTTTATTTAAAGGGATTTTGAAATTTGCTATATAGTGCAAATGTGATGTGTGTGATGCATGATTTGAGACTTGATTAGAGTTTCAGCAGTTCAACAGTCTGATGGCAGCGGGGGAAAAGCTGTTGCAGAACCTGCATGTCTTGCATTGAATGCTGCAAAGCCTCTTCCCAGAGGGCAGCAGGGAGAACAGTCCATGGTGGGGGTGTGAGGGGTCAGTTGATGATGTTACGGGCACGTGACACGCAGCACTGGGATGAAATGTCTTTAATAATAATAATAATAATACATTTTATTTAAAAAGGCACAGTTCTGGACACTCAAGGCCACCGTACAAAGGCATAAAAACTGTGTCAGAAAAAATAAAACATTTAAAAAAAAATACAGAGGCTGTGACAATGAAATTGATATTTAAAGAGAATAGGCAATCTTGAAAAGATGGGTTTTGGGTTGCATTTTAAAATGGAGAATTGATTCTGTGTTTCTGAGTTGGGAAGAGGAGTCCCGATGATCTTCTCTGCTGTTCTCACCACTCTTCTCACCTTCTTCCAGTCTGAGGCTCTGCAGCCTCCACACCACACAGAGAGACAGCTGGTCAGAACGCTCTCTATTGTGCTTCTTAAGAAGGTGCTGAGGATGGGCGGGGGCAGGTGGGCTCTCCTCATCCTCTGCAGGAAGTACGAGTACGTTTGTGCCCTTTTAACCAGTGAGGTGGTGTTTACAGTCCAGGTGAGGTTGTCTGAGATGTGCACCCCCAGGAATTTGGTGATGTTGACCATCTCTACTGCAGCGTGGTTAGGCCGGTTCTACCTGAAGTCCAAGATCATCTCCTTCGTTTTCTGCACATTCAGGATCAGGCTGTTGTCTCTACACCAACTCACCAGCTGCTCCTCCTCCTCTCTGTAGTCCTGATCGTTGTCGTCTATGATGAGGCCCACCACCGTAGTGCCGTCTGCAAACTTCCCAGTATGACTGGTGGTGAACCTGGGGACACATTTGTGTGTCATCAGAGTAAACAGCAGGGGAGGCTGCTTCCTGAACCCCCTGCTGTTCATATGATGGCAACATAAATTCCTCTAATTAAGAACCTCAAATATCTATTCCTCCCTTTCTCACTTTGACCAGATGACGCAGGTTTCTGTACTCAAACCAAAATCCCCCCACAGTGCTGTTTGTGACTGAGTTAATTCAGCGGAACATGTACCCTTCTGTTGGAGACCATTGACAGTTTCAGGAGGCGCTTCTTCTGCATCTTTCAGGAAGCTTTAGAAGTAGTAGCTGTAGTAGTAGTAGGTTCTTCTTGTGCATTTTTAATTTTTTTTTTATCTACATTTTTCTAACTGGTCACATGTTAAAGTTAGAAGATTATTCTTAAGTAAAACCTGCTCAGACGTCCCTCCTCTGCATTGTCCTATCAGGCGACTCACTTCCCTTATATCTAAATACTCCTTGACGATGTCAATGTTTGCAGTTGCAGTTATTACTGAATTGTAGGAATACAAAGAGGACTTGTTCCGTTATAGCAAATAAAGGAGATGCTCTTAAATAGTTTTTAGTTCTTTGGTAAGATGTTTTTTTCTGCTTCTATGAGATACATTATTATTTTAGTATATATATAATCCATATAAATGTCAAACGTTTCTTTCTGCCTCCATCACTTCTGCACCATAATGGAAAGCAATGCGACAAATACTGCTCTAAAGTCTAATTCTGGTTCCATTAAACCACAATTTGATCTGTTTGATGAGGTAAACCTAACCCACAGAGATCAAGAAACCTTTTTTTCCTGCAAATCATCTTAGCCACTCAACTCTCTCCTTCTTGTTTCTCAACAATAAATAACCACTAGTAACATTCTACATTTAGTTCAACATTGACCCCCACTCCACATCTTACTTCAGTGAATGACAAGACCAAAAAAATGATTTGAAGAGCAGCATAAAGGTTTATTTAGGAGTGGGGATACATTGCAACTACAACCAACATACCTGTGCTCACGACTAGATATAACAGTGTGATGAGAAAAGAGGTGAACCACAGTGGAGAAATACAGCAAACGTCTCTCCTGTGAGAACAGATGCTTTTTTAACAATAATTATGAAACAGTAACTTCAGATTAAACTATTCAAGTCTAAAGAAAACGGACATTGATTCAACACAGGAAAATCTAAGGATGAATAGGAATGAATTGTTTCAGTTGGAGGGTTGATATCCTCCTTTTATATGTTGGACCACACTCTCCTTACTACATCGCCACTACTTAATCACTCCGAAAATAACTACTTCTGACTGCAGCGGATCTGTTGAAGGAAAAACAAAACAAAACAAAAAACTGATTGCTTGAATCTCAACTGTGTTACCCTCAAATAGTGCATTTAATCGGATTTATTATTCAGCAATAATTGCAGTTATTAGTATTTTGCATACATTGATCTTTCTTAAAGATACAGCAGCACAACTGTAATAGGTTCAAGTGGGAGTTTTTTCACACCGCTACATCATGATAGACCCTAAATATATAAATATTATACATATTGACCTTATAGTGATGCATAGATTTCTGACAGAATGCAAAATAACTTCAACTTCTGTCAGTGAAAAGTCCTAAATATTTGCGTAATTCAGTTGCTGAGAAAAAATGCACCACAGTGAGCCATATTTAATGGTATTTATAGGGTCAATCAGAATTTACATCAATTGATGTCTTCCATTTAAACCTTAAAACAACCAGGAACATTAGGTTTAATGGCCTTTAGTAGTTTGCAGAGAATTCCCACTTTTCCAGTCATGAGGAACGTCTGCGTGTGATTCTAGCTGGATCTTTAACTCCTCTGATCAGAGATGGTAGAGTTTAATTAAACTGGCTGATTTACTGGAATACACATATTTTTTTTAAATTCATGATTCAGAAACTTTCAGGAAGGAGCTCAAAAGTAGGAGATCATTCAGAAAACTTAATAAAAAATGTCTAAAACCAGTTCTGACTACGAGGCTACATTCACACCAGGGTTCCCACGCCTCAACTAACATCATTCCTTAAATTTAAGGAACAATGAACAGCAGCATTTACCTTCTGCTACCCCTTAAAGTATCACGTCTAGCTCATTTAAACAGGCATCAGTACCGGAATAAAGGACTTAAAATGTCTAATGTAAAGGTAACAGTTGTAATAATCTGATCAGATTCAGCAGTATTGGAATAAAATTGTAATCTGACAAAGGAGTATTGGGAGAATTTTGTTCCATTATTGTTAAAAACAAAAAACACTTTATGCAAAGGGAAATAAAGAAAAAACTAGCAAGAGTAAATTTACTGTTTTCTCAGATTTTGCTTTTTTTTATTCTGTGTGAGCTAAACTGAACAGAGTGTGCATGTGCACCAACATCTATGTGATCTAGTTCTTTGAGCCAATAGATGCTTTTAGAATATTCCAACAATCATGTTAAGATGAAAAATTTCCAGTCTGGACGGCCATTTTTTTCTAAACCCTTATGTCCATAAAAACGCTACAGTCCGTAAATGTTTGGGTTTTGAGTCCATAGACATTTCCATTTAAGGACTTCTAAGAATGTCTATCTTTTTTTTTGCCATTTTCAGAAAATTTCGTGGCATTGAACTCATATTCAAATTCAAAAACTTGCAAGGATTTAAAAACTTTCAGATAAGTAGCAGGTTCACTACCACATATGGAAGTGCCACAGTTAGGTTTTTTTTGGAGGTGGAAGGATTGGGATTTGTTCATTCTGATGGCTGTGAAAAAACTGGACGAGTCGCATATGAACCAAAAAAACAAAAACAAAAAAACAGGCAGGCGAACGTTGGATCTGGGTCACATTTGCTCGCAGTGTGAAGGTAGCCCAAGTTCCAACTATCTGAATCAACCAGGCTCTCTTAGAGATATAATGTTGAGTTCTAATGCTACTGAACCTTCCAAGAAGAACCAAAGTCAGGCTGATTCCAGGAGAAGGATGTTCTAATGAAGGAATATATTCAAATTTCTATATCAATTTCAGCAAGGCTAACTTAACATAAGCTCAACCCGCCTAAAAACTGATTAAAGTCTGAGACAGGAAATCATCTCATTGAAATAAATCATTATTTCTACTAAAAATAGTGGTCAGATTTTTAGACACAATCAAGATAATTAGGCGTCTGGTTTCTCCATGGTGTAGAATAGCTGTCAAAAAATAAAAATGTATGCCGAGGTGTCTGAATGTGTATATTAGTTAATAAATGTGAATAAAATCCAGTAGTTCCTCATTGTTAACTCATAGAAATATGAAAAATTGGTACAAATCAAAGATTTTTGATAACGTTTCTGATTACGACTCACATATGTTGGGAGTAAATATAACAAACTCACAATTATTAATCATAAATGTACAAATTCGAATCAGATATTGAGTTGACAGCGAGAGCAAATAAAAAATAAATTAATTTCTTAACATGTATCAACTTTATTTACAAATTCGGACACCTATGTCATAGATTTTTTTGACAGCTATTTATCTCCTTTAAAAGTTGCTTTTGTGTAAAACAGACTAAGTGTAAGAAATGCGGACATAACTGTTTTTACACATACCGTATTTTCCGGACTATAGAGCGCACCTCACTATAAGCCACACCCACTAAATTATTTGTAAAAACTGGAAACTTACACATAAGCTGCATCTGCTTATAAGCTGCAGATATCTACTGAGCTGTCTCCCATCAAACCTGTAGGGGGAGCTCTACATACAGCCCCTGGAGTGGGGCCGAAGAATGCTAGCTCCTGTTAGCTTGTTGGCTTGCAGCAGTAAAGATGGGGCTTTGTCAGCTATTTATTTCAGCACTGAAGGAGTTGAGCCATTCTCTTCATTGGTTCGGCAGCTTTAATGCAGCAAACTCAAAATGTGTGATTTCAGGACATAGGGCTTGGGATCCGCGTTGCATTGTGGGACGTGGTGGCCATATTGAGGGCTACGCGAACGTAAACATAGCTCTGATACAATGTTGTAGTTGAAAGAACAGATGTAGAAGTGGAGAGAAAACTGATGTTAAAATCCCAAAAAGGATCTGGAATTTACCGGGACACATTAAATTGAGAAGCCAGGGACCGGTATGTTGACAAAATCAGCATTATTAATAATTTGGATCCATATGAAGTTCCAAACAATGAGTGGAGCACCGATGAGTGAGCGCCTATACTTCAAAACAGTTCCGAAGCTACACGTCCTTGGAGTCTCATATGCAGTTCATGAATGGATGGGTTCAGGAGCTGCAGATCGTAAAGCCAGCAAACAGTGGGAACACAGTAATCCATACAAAGGTAAGCTGTGCTCAGACGGGCCCTGGAACCTGCTAGTTTAGTAACTGTTAACCGCTAGTGCTAACAACCACTCGCTGCTAGCTGCTATGTGTTTCAAAGGTGTAGTTAGTAACGTTAACTGCCAACCCTCCCCAAACCCTCCGAGTTTCTCACGTATTTGAGCCTTTTCCCGCTGCGGTTTTTACCATTTTCCCATAAAAGGTCCCAACTTTGAAGGAAAGAAACAAAGTAGGCTATAAAATAAAACCGTGCATCTTTAACTTACCAGAATGAAAATGCAGGGAACACACGCTCATTGACATCGGGATACTGCGGAAAGTTATGTTCGGTCGTCTTACAGCCGCGATCCAAGCTAGCCGACGACTCTTTATCTCTGACACTTGGTCTCCATGGTTGCGCCTCCAGGCAAGAAAGCGGTGGAAAGTTAACCCATTTTCTATGTTTTTCCCATGGCGATCATGTGTTGCGCTGTTACAGCCCACAATACAGCAACGGTTTACCATGGTTGAAATCAAGTTAAGGTGAAATTAAACAAATTAAAACACGGCTGAGAGGGAGTACAGTACGTGGTAGTGATAGGCAATAGTCTGAGCAGCGGTATCAACATGGCGGCCACGCAAAGTAATTACGTCATGACGCCCAAGCCCTATTTGTTCTCCTCTGTGCCTGCTGCTAGCATGTTGTGCTAAATGAAAATTAGCCCCTTATTATTTCATTTCCAACTTTGACTTCCCCTTCTGGCAGTTAGGAAAAATCCACTGAGAAGGTGCACCTTCTTATAAGCCACATGGTTCAAATCGTGAGGGAAAAAAGTAGCAGCTTATAGTCCAGGAAATACGGTAATCATCGGATCAGCTTTCACTAAATGATAAAACCTTGAATTTACTATTGCAGTCACGCTTTTGATGACTGATATCATGTTCAAAGGGAGCGAGAGATATTACTCTGACATAATAAAACTCATCTAGGGCTAAATAGTAAAAGATCAAAACAAAATGAATTTAGAATGAATCCAATGTTAGTATTAAAATAAAACAGGTGTAAGAAAATGAACAGAAGGTTTTGCGGTGGAGCTTTGGTGCTTCCACTCATCTTCATTAAGGGTACCACCTCCAGCTTTACTTTACTTCAAACAAGCTGTAAAAGATGCAGACTGAACAGGAAACCACCTCAAGGTTAACCTACAGGTGCATAAAGAGCTAATATTCTGATTCAGCTACTATCTGCCGTCTTCTTCCTGTAAAGGACAGATTTTAGTGTCTTACTGAGGACCATCAACAGCCTGCTATGCACTCACTTTTGATAGCTTAGCCTGGATTAGCATTTGCCTTTCAAATTTCACAGAAAATACATGCATGTAACATCAGAGAGCGTCCAGCCAGCTGGACCCTTTGTTAGACGGTTTTTAGGAAACATAATACAAAGAAAAGGAGAATCTGGAATTGTCAGCATGTTTTTGATTAGTTGCCCCAGATCGTTCCATGTGTGAGCCTCGTGGGTCCACTTTATGTCGTTTTTTTTGTAACGTGAATTAAATGGTCCCTGTTACTTCTTCACCTGATCCTGTCAGATCAGACCGAGGGCGAGGTTACGGATGACATCAAAAGCTCCGTGGTCGAAGCCGAAAATGCTGATCAGACCACTGTCTTCCGTGTCGGCGATGGCGTGTCCGATGGACGTCAGGCCGCACATCACCAACCTGGACGCAGTGCCTGATGCCTGTGGAGGAAAAAGAAAAATGTTTGTGAAAGGATGTCAAAATGACTAGAGCAGTGAACTTCAGCCTCGACTTGAATAAATGTTAAGATTAATGACTTGACCTTTTAAACCCATGATTCAGGACATGTTCCTGTTTACTAGAGAGACTTGATATTTCACCCAAAATCTAAAGTTTAAAACATTGATTGTTTAAATAGCGCCCACTATTAATTCATCTCACTCATGTATTAAGTTTGGTTTATGCTCAGAAACCAGGTCGTCTGCGTGTTTTGCAGTTAAAGCAGATAAGGCCCCGCCCCTTCTGCAGACACTCCGCTGCATCTCTAAAATTTTAGGAGGCCTCTGATTGGTCAAATCTACATCCGTACTACACTATGCGTATTTCCTGCTTGGTACCTTACCGGCTTGTTTTGTTTGTCTGACCGCCATTGTGGAAAATTACTCTAGAAGTTGGACCAGCTAGAAGAGCGGGGTGCACGAGAACGCTAGGACCCCTTTTCCACCTGGATCCCACTCTTTTTCGCCCTCATGTCCCTCTGTTTGGCATTTTTCGTGAAATATTTCCGCCCTAGGACACATAGATCTTTGCCCTTTGACTCTCGTTTAATGTTGTACACGTGCAGTAACTCCTCTGTAATACAGAGGTGTAGGACAGCTCAGGGTGCAGCAAAGCAGCGATCTGAGGTGGCAGGAAGTGTATTTGCTTACCAGCTCCGGCCACAGTGCAGACGTTTTGCGGGTGATTGACAGGTCAGGTCGTGGGAGTAAGGGACGCATAGGGGAGAGAGAGCAAGAGAGGACGAGAGCGAGACAAATGGCGCAACAAACGTCCTTTTCCTAGATCTGGTTTAGCTACAAGGCTTGGCTAACTGCATGCAGCGAGGCTAACACTTTATTCTGCTTTCCCTGCCTCCTTTTTGAAACGTCAGGATCTGACCCAGCATGGATAAAGACAGCTAGGACTGATTTAAAGCATTTTTCAGGAAAGGTAAAGAAGAATAAACAATCTGGGATTCACATGGAAAATAATATAATATAGTGAACTTTTCTCTTAAATAAACACATTCTCAGAAAATTGTTTTTAGATGTTAAAATAAATATAAAGCTGACTAATACTTCTCCATTACTAAACTGGTATATTTTTTTTAGGTTTGTGACACAACATTGGAGCATGCAAAACACAGATTTGCCTTCAGAAAGCCTAAGAAGGGGCAACATTTATTGCAAAAAGTTAACCTGTAGATGAAATTAATCTTGTTTTTATTCAGTTTCTTTATAATGTTTTTTGTTGTGGGCATTCATATGAATATACAGGCTTGATAACTTGGTATATGTCTGATTGGTTTTTAGTATACGTCTATTTTGAATTTATAGACCCCCCTCCCCATCCTCCCCAAGGCAAAAACTCCACCAGTTGCCACTGATCAACTGGTTCTCTAGAGTTTTTCACAGAAAAAAAGTTACCAGACTTACAGAAAATCACACACAAAAAAGGAACTAAACTCTCTCACAGAAACACTTACAAGTCTGTACTTCTTCAAAGAATCCACTGGGCTAGCTGCAAAAGTCCACAGTGGGTTGTTGGTTAGAATGATGAACATATCGATGGACTTCCCATTTTCTGTGGCCCATGTAATGGGAAGAGTGCAGTCCGTGCTGCCACTAGGGAACTGGGAGAAACAAGCCAAAGTTTAGCAGAAGCATAGGTTCAGTTATTAGACTTAAAAGAACAACAGATATCACAGCTGTGGAGTAGGAGTAGCAGTTTCTATCCCTGACCTGTAGATGGCAGCAAAGTGTCAGTTTCTAAATATATATAGTGCGCTGCATTTAAAGGGATAGTTCGGTATTTTTGACATGAATCTGTATGGCATCCCGATCACCAGCGGCATGCAATCACACTGACTTACCCCTGGCAGCGTCCTGTGAGCAGAGTTATCGTCCAGTTTTGGTCAAGCCGAAAGTAGTCCTGCAGGTTTTTAGGAACAGCGAAATAAAACGTTTCTCTTCCCAAAACATTATGTGTCCAAAAGAGTGATATTTTCGCATCCCAAAAACATTGTAGTGGAAAAAGTCACACGTCGTTATCAATTGGTCCTATTTTCTCTCTGTTCGTATCAGTGCGCGCCGTCATTCAGACAGCGAGCCCAACAACAGCCATGTCTCCTTCCGCGGCGGAGGGAGACATGGCTGTTGTTGGGCTCGCTGTCTGAATGACGGCGCGCACTGATACGAACAGAGAGAAAATAGGACCAATTGATAACGACGTGTGACTTTTTCCACTACAATGTTTTTGGGATGCGAAAATATCACTCTTTTGGACACATAATGTTTTGGGAAGAGAAACGTTTTATTTCGCTGTTCCTAAAAACCTGCAGGACTACTTTCGGCTTGACCAAAACTGGACGATAACTCTGCTCACAGGACGCTGCCAGGGGTAAGTCAGTGTGATTGCATGCCGCTGGTGATCGGGATGCCATACAGATTCATGTCAAAAATACCGAACTATCCCTTTAAGACTCTATGATAGCTTTCTGCTTTTCGTATACATTAAACCATTTTAAGGTCTTCAAAAATATTTGAATGATAAATGTAAAATATATATATATAATATATTAAAGAGCAGTACCAAATTTCCTTCTTAAAAGGTGTCCCTATAAAGAAGCGACCGCCAATTTTTTTTCTTTAATTTCCCTTTAAACTAACCAGAGTAATTAAGATTTTTTCTCTAAGATATATTTGTTTTTATGAGAGTTTATTGTCAAAGAACTTTCCTGTTTATCATTGCGTGGAAAAGGGATTTGTCACTACCCGATCGGTCCCGCAAGCACGATCCGTACCATCAGCTCAATTGCGCATCCAAATATACACGATTTTATTTTGTAAAAAAGAACTAAATTACGGTTTTCCCCTCCCCAAAAATAGAAAGCGTACCAAAATATAATCTGTTCAAGGTTAACAATGTATTCCATGAGAAAATAAATGCCTTAAAATGATTTCTGTTTTATCACTCCTCTGTTCCCGATCTGCACGGGAAAAGCGATCCTATGCTACGTCCAGGAACTAACTTTTTCAGCTCTGGACTTCCATTGATTTTGCTTGTAAAGCAGGGAGAATGGCGCTAAGCTTACCGCACTGTGACGTCACGGGAGGGAGGCGTTACAATATTTGGGCAAAAAAAAATTGCCATTCCTGGACTAAATGATCCCAACGAAAATGATATATTTTTTTACTAATCAACGATAAATTTATTAAAATCACTGCAAACTAGGGTTGACAATAGTATCAATACTCAAAAAAGTATCGATACTGAAATGTTGTATCCGGTTACAATACTCGTTTTTAAAAGTATCGACACAGTGCTACCACCAGTGGCACCTAAGCAGTCATTCATCTAAAGTGCAGAATAGAGGAAAATGCACTTTTAGAACATTGTATGATTGAATTTTTTATCAAGCTTGCTTAATATTGTGCACAGCATACAACCTTTATTGTATTTATTTGTTGTATTTTATTTATTAATGAAAATATTTCTATAGAATTTTGGAGTCTTTGTTTTTATCCTTGTGGTATCGAAAATGGTATCGAGTATCGAATATTTTCCTTAGTGTCCGTATCGAGTTGAAAAGTTTAGTATTGTGACAACCCTACTAAAAACGTATTAGTTTTAGGTATAAATAATGGTCCATTGATTATATTTGCTGACCAGACTTTTCCTTTAAGCGTATTACTGCAGCAAAAATGGCTGGAGTGAGAAAGTCAGTGTCTTAAGCCTGTTAAATGTGACCAACTTGAGTGTCTCACTAATTTGAAAATTGAGTTTTTTTAAACTGTGATTTTATTACAAATGCTATAATTTTCCAATTAATTCGTCAGATTAAAATAGAGACATGCCAAACTATTCTGTGATGTCAAAGAGGTAGAGGTCCAAGATGAACTGTTCTCTGTCCTTAGTGCTGAACGTTTGATCACAGGGTTCCTACAGCATAAGGCAAGTTAAATTCAAGACTTTTTAATGCCACTTGAAATAGAAAATTTAAGACCAAATTCACAAGAAAAACCTGCTTGCGACTACTTAACCCAAAGGTTTATTTTAACATAAACCACTGCACTAATGTTTCATATTCTGAAAAGCTTTCCATACAGGAAGAAAGCTAAAAACAAAAAAAGACAGATATATTTTAACAATTATTTAACTGAATTCACAAACTTTGTTTTAGCAGGGAACAAAACAAATCAGTTTTAAAGCCCCAACATAACCAGTGTTTAGTCTTTTTTGCAGCTATTTTTCTTTGTATCGTTTTCTTAGTATGTTTGATTTGGTGATAAGTGGAGGCGTTGCAGAGACAAGGGTGGAACTAAACCGAGAAATACCAGCTGTTTCTCTGTAACTCCATTTTGAGGCTTTGTGTTTCGCGCTTCGCATGTGCGACTCCACTGCCTTAATTCCCATCGTTCTGAGCTTGAATGACTTCTTGCACAAAATCCACTGAGCCTCATGTATGTAAAAATTAAGACCTACGAAAGACTGATTTAAGACATTTTAATACCAATTAAGGCCTTAGTTTTATTTTAAAGAATTCAATGCCTTTTAAGACTTTTTAAGGACCCGTGGGAACCCTGGATCATTATTCTACCAAACAACGCCCCGAGTAAGGTTAGTAAATATATTTAAATTAGAATATACAACACTAAAAATTACACATTTAGGGGGCTTGGTGTGTTTGTTAAAAAAGAATTGTATTTTGCAGGTTACACTGCATTGTTAGCAGCAGGTTTTTAATTTGTTTAATTTAATACATTTATTTATTTATTTGACAGGGACAGTGTACATTAAAAAGCATTCCTGCAAATGCACCAGAATTAGCCAAAAGGCTTTTTTTCATCTGTTGTCCCTGGACAGATCTTAAAATTGTCTTCCTAAAAAGACACAACAGTAAGCATGCTACAATGTAAAATACAAATATAAAAATAAATAAAAACAGCTATAACTCCTCAAAACCGATTAAAAAATACAGAATAAGTGTTTGCAGTTCGTTGGTGCACATTTTCTTCTACCAGTGACATCGGCTGGTTAAAGAAATGCTTCCCCCTTCACATCTCACCTTAACCAGTTCTGCAGTGACATCTGCAAGCGTCATGTCTGCAGAAAGAGAGCGTGGCACCACGGCTCCCTCAGAGAAGGCAAGGACGTCCGTGTTTTCTTCTGTCTGAGAAAAGATCTGCAGCAAACAAGACATTAAAAAATCAGCGTAGCTCAAATGATAACTTCCTGAACTTCAATTCATTTTACTTTGATAAAAGGACAGCAATACTCTGTCACTTCCACAACACCAGTGCTGTAGCTGGACAATATCTTAGCCATGAAAGATAATTGTTTAGTTAAAATATACCCTGTGAGAAAAGCCATAACTAGAAGCTGGATCATAACTGATGCACCAAACCTCACAGTATGGTACAGAAAATATTGCAAAAAAAAAGAAAACGACTTGTTCTGCAACTGAAAGCAGAGAAAAGTATGGAAAAAAAGTATCCCCACTGATTACTCCTCATTACATTTGAAAAAACAATACAAAAGAAAAACTCTTAGTGTTTAATGCCGCTAACAACCTCTGAGGGGCCTTTGGACTAACATGGCATGGAAAACAGCAAAGCCAGGAATTCCCAGAATGTTCCACCAGGCCCTGCGTTCAGACAGCAGCTGCTCCATGTCCCTCCCATTGTGAAGTCCTCCTAACACCCTCACCATGGTTACAGCTGCGGCTGCTACAGCGGTGCTGATTGCTGTTCCCGGGACGATGCTGGTCAGCGACGTGCTCACATCTACTGCCACGACGAAGTGTTTCCCAACAGGCTCCACATTCTGATTAGATAAGAGATGATGTGTTATCTGAGAAGCTGGCAGACTTATTTACAGGAAACCATAAAGACGCTAAGAAGACAAAACCGCCTTACCATAAAACTTTTGTAAAAAGCACAGTCCATAGCTTTGAGGATGCTAACGTCTGCTTCCCATTTGGTTTTTCCTTGATAGCCTTGGCCTCTTTTGTAGTTCTCTGAAGCCAAAAGGATGCTGAAAGGATGGATCTTTGCCTGAAAGTTAAAAAAAAACACCTTTGCATTTTGTTTGCATGTAACACCAATAAGTGCTGAGTCATGCAATTGCGGTTATGGACGTACCTTCTTCAGGGAGGCCTCGTTCTGAAGTCTGTCGCATATTGTTTGCACCTCAGAGCTTCTTGGTTCAAGGAGTTTGTTCGATGTCATCTTTCCCAGGATTTTTAAAATCGAATGCAGAGGTATTTCCTTTAGCAGAGCCCCCCATACCTTTAGAAAAATGTCAAAAATAGCCATTATATCAGATGTATGCAAGCTTACCAGACGTAAAAACCCATGGGTTCCTAGTTTAGGTATCTGTTAAGTGCAGCTGGAAGAATGAAAGAAACTGAAACAACAAGCACTGCTGGGAGACACGAGGAGTAGAAACAAATGATCTGGAGGTGATATGGAGGAGAGCATGTTTCCCAAGGCTTAGACTCAAGCAGCACCAAAGCAAATCATTTTTTGGTGTTTTTCATGAGCCACTTGATGAGAAAACTAAGATGGATATACCGTATTTTCACGACTATAAGGCGCACTTAAACATCTTTTTTTTCCCTCAAAATGTGCGGTGCGCCCTATGTGTGTTTTAACTGCGACTTTTGAGACCACCTCATTGAGGAGATGATGAAAGAGTGGCTGAATGTAAGGAGACCAGGTGTTTTTTTTTCCACTCATTACCATCGCTGTTAATCTGACTCCATGCGTGCCCATCTCACAGCTGATGTGAAAAACATGGTGAAACAAATTAACGCTGTGCTCGCTGTTATTCAACCGCTCGACATCGGTGTGAACCGGACCCAGCAGGTGCAGCAGAAGCAGCGAGTTTACATGCAAAGTCAATGGTTGACGCGCGTATAGGCGCAGCAAAAGGTCCCGCAGCGCGTTTTGAGCAGCAGGCGCTGCGCGTCGGGAGCGTTTAAGTTTCTGCCAACGCGCTGCTGCTGCTCGAGATGGAAAAATTGAAGTTTTGCTGCTGGAAGCGCCGCATCAACCAATCAGAGAAGCTGATCTGGGAGCTGCCAGCGAGACAGACACAGCACTCTGATGACATATGATATTAAAGCAAATGAAAAAGGCTGGATGGATGAGAAGATGATGAAAGCGTGGCTGAGGCAGGTGTATGTGAGGAGACCAGGTGGTTTTTTCCACGCATCACCATCGCTGTTAATCTGTGACTCCATGCGTGCCCATCTCACAGCCGATGTGAAAAAAAAGGTGAATCAAATGAACGCTGTTATCCCGGAGGTCTGACAAAGGAACTTCAACCGCTCGACATCGGTGTGAAGCGGCCGTTCAAAGTAAGGCTGCGAGCGGCGTGGGAGCGATGGATGACAGACGGAGACCACAGTTTAATGAAAAGTGGAAGGCAGCGCCGGGCAAGTTACGCCACCGTTTGCGGATGGATTGTAGATGCTTGGACTAACGTGTCTGCTGGCTCTGTTGTTCGAGCTTTCGCAAAAGCCGGCATTATTTCTGAGGAGCCGCCCGGCACGGAAAGTGACTGACAGCGAAGAAGGGGAAATTGGCATGTCTGATTTAGCGCAGCTGTTTAATTCAGAAACAGAGGATGATGACTTTGATGGGTCTGATTAATACTTTGTAATAAATACATGAATAAAGCACAATCATACTCAGTTTTGCTCCCGCTCTATTTTTCTACCTGAAAACTTAATTCAACAGCAGCCTCTGGGCCGGGTCTCCTCCGGGTTCACGCGGCGGCTGGCAGGTGTTTTTCATCTAAATAATTTAAACTGCAGGCACCAGGATACCGGCAATAAAAGCGAACATATTCCGTCGTCAGGTTTGTAATAAATACTTTGTAATAAATACATGAATAAAGCACAGTCATACTCAGTTTTGCTTCCGCTGTATTTTTAAATACGCAGCAGAGCTATTTAAAGGTAGTAGAGGACATGTGCCTGTATATAAAAAACGCGCCCTATAGTCCGGTGCGCCTTATGTGTGTGTTAAATACAGAAATGGGACACATAACTGAGACTGCGCCTTTTAGTGCGGTGTGCCTTATGGTCGTGAAAATATGGTAAAAAAACACAAAAAAAAAACAAAACAACATTAAGATTGGTTTTATGAACAGAGATCAACAGGAACACCTGATAAGCTAAATTGACTCTTTTTCTGGTTTAATAAAATGTCACATGCAAAAAAATTATCCAAAAGTAAGTAAAAAAAAAAAAAAAAAACTGAAAAAGATGATCTGTCAATAACATAATTATTTTTACCCTTAAATCAAAGAATTATTTCTAATATTATATTTCTATAATTATTTTTACCCTTGAATCAAAGATCATCAGAGAGATAGAGTAGATAGAGAAACTCTAGAGATACTCTATCTCAAGTAGAGATAGACTCTACTTGAGATAGAGTAATGAAGTTTTATTTTTCTTCTTTTAAACTTAATTTTATCCCATAAGCAAATTGTCTCCCCCGCCTGTTTAAATAAATAAACAAATACATCAAATAAAAAGAAATTAGTACACCATTCTTATTTTAATACACTTAAAGTAAACTACCACTATGCATTTTGGATGTTTTACATCTGCAGATTCAATAACATGAGGCCCTCTAACATATCACACGCATAGCTTCCTGCTCCTTCTCTACACTAGTACACACACACCTGTAGCCCCTCCCCCATCTGTTTTTGTGCAATTGTGTCAACTTTGATTACTTTAAGGCTAACAACCACTGGAGAAAGTAAACTGCATGTGATTGGCTGCTTTACAGGGAATCCCCCCTCTTGAGACAGTACTGTTTTCTTCCTGGTTGAGGTAAATACCAGTAGAGATATCTTCAGGTCCGAGGTGCATAATCAGGGTCCAGAAAGAGAAAAATCATAGTTCTAACCATTTGAATTTCAAACTCCACAAACCGACTTGGGGCTCCCAAGTCTCCCATCCCATGCATGGAGCTGTTTCAGAACTGGAGAGCTCCTTCAGTGACAGACTGCTGCACCCTAAATGCACCCAGAGAGCGTTATCACAGATCCTTCCTCCCAGCAGCTGGAAGACTCTATATCCACCACTGTTCTCAACAACCTCAATAAGTTGTTACATTCATGCTGATTTTGCACAGTTTCTACCATAGTTACACAACATGCTGCTTTCACTTTGCACATCGCTGATGTTGCTGCTATTTTAAATATCCATTGCAGTAAAAATGTCCATAGCTGTATATTGGTTATTTATTCTCCAGGAGCACCATTTTATATTGTTAAAACACTTTACAGTACAGTATTTTATTTATTTAATTTTTTTTAACTCTTTACTATTGTGTTAGTTTTATACACTTCTCTAAGGTCCACATTTGTGTGACCATTTTTGCTATGATCTTTAGCTGCTGTTACGGCTGCAGTGGGTTTCTCCTCTTTCCTTGCAGGGTTCTGGGTGCAGGCCTTCTGCAGGCCTTCCGTTTTGCCCTATTTAGTGCTTGTCTACTTTAAAAGCTGTCATGCAAGCAGCAGAGAGGAGGCTTCTCCCTGTTACCTCCTCAGAACCCCGTCTGGTTTGTATCCTATCCTATGGTTGGGTTTTGTTAGGTTTGTTTGCATTTACCCATTTCTGTTTAGTTATTGGTTTTGCATTAAGCCATTTTCTATTCCCCATTTTTAAGTTTTTTTTGTTTCTTTAGTATAATTTAATAAATTCAATTTTCACTTTAAAGAAAATCTTTGTGTGGTCTCCTTTAATGTTACTCCCACCAAACAAGCCTGGTGGACGTAACACTGCTGTAAAACCAGAATTTCCCCATTGTTGGACAATAAAGGGATTTTCTATTCTATTCTAAGGACCGAGTAAAATGAACAGGATGAAGGAAAACTAGGCAGGGTTTTTATTTTCTAAACCTAGATTATCCACCTCTGCTTTAGGCTAATAGCTGTTTCTTCTGATTATTGAATTCTGACTTTATATCTAACAATTATCTCTTTCATCAACCGAGTTTTACAAAAACAATGCTGGATGAAAACAATGCACATAGGTAGCAGCAAACTTATAAAATAAATAGAAACGTCCATGATAAATGAGAGTTAATTCAAACCTCATTATCCTGCGTATAAACAGTGAAGCTAACGTAAGCTTAGCTCATACCAATTTAACAATAATCATTGTAGGCCACATTGCTAACGCTGTCAGAACACGTTCATGACTGTAAACCGATTTTTAACTCTTTGAGAGAACAGCGATTAGCTTGAAGATGCTTTGCTAGCGTTATAAGCCACAACTAGGAAGAAAACTGAACTCTGTAAAGAGGCATGGGTTTATGAAAAGTGACCAATTACAGGCAGTTTCTTTTCTAAAGTTGGTTCCACCCTCAAAGTGAGAAATGTTGACCCGAGTGCAGTTTACTTCTGTGGAAAGTAGTTTATGTGTTTTAAATCAAACCGCTTATATTACTACATATATGTTCCTCTCTGACTAATAAAGATGACCTTTTACATAATCAGGGAATGCACCATATCTAAAAAATAAACTTTTCTGGGTTGAACTTGTTTTCAAAAGTAGAAAGCTCAAAGATAGCTTTCTATTTGCTCATAGAACTGATATTTTCCCATCAATAAAAGATAAAAAAATGCTAATAAAACAGATTACCTGCTTTGATCTCAGATGATCTGTGAGCAGCTGCTCCCTCCCCAGCTTGTGCTCCTCTATTAAACCGCTGACCTCCAGCTCATCACAGCTGTGTTTGGCCTTTTCCACCACCTCCAGATAGGAAAGCACTTGGACAACCTCCTCCGAGTTCTCCTTGTCTGCGTAAGCCTCCTGGACCTCCTTCCACCCCTTTGTTACATATTTGCTGATCAAGGCAACAGCTGAAATCACAAAGCATTGCACATCACTGTTCCAACCCCCTATATGTTAAAATTATCAGCACCCACTCACCATCAGTGGCTGGTTTTGTGTGGGAGAGCCTGAGCAGGTCCTGGTGAGACCAGCCCTCTCTTTGTTTACATCGGGTCACAGCTGCAGCCAGTCTCAGGGGGTCTTGCTCATTGTACCAGTCAGACACGGCCTTCCTCAGGGCGCGCCCCCAGATCCCACATTTCATGCCTTCTTTCAGCTCCTTTTTGTACTGAATGAAGGAAAACAAGTTGGCGGGGTCCCTACAGAATTCCTTCAAGGCTTTGAACGCCGCCTGCCTTGTCTTCAGCTCGGAATGTTGGGAGCACAAAGCCAGGGCAAAGAGGGCCGGACCTGGTCTGACTGCGCGACCTTCTAGGGCAAAGTGCTTTATCTCCTCCACCACCTCTGCACCTCTCCCATCCTGCAGCAAGGTCAGCAGCGCTCCGGCGTTCTCCATGGAGACGCGGCCCTGCTCTCTGGCGGTGTAGATGTCACCCTCAGAGCCGTAGCAGAGGAATCTGCACAGTTTAGTCTTGTCGCTGATCTCCCATGAACCCTCAGCACCGGTTGAGTTTGACGTGTGGTTGCTTGTAGAGTTTCCTGATGGCTCCATGGTGATGCTAAAGGAGGCCTGATAACAGAAGTGTAACAAGATATGTGGAATAATAAGAACAGACCCTCTGATGTCTGGAGTTTGGGTTAACATTTTCTTAAGAACACAAGGAGACTGAGCTCTAGGCTGTTTCTCTGCAGCAGTGGTGAGCAAGTTCAGTCCACAAGAGTTACTGTCCTCTAACCTTTGGGAAGATTTATTTTCCAATAAACTAAATGGCTGAAAGCCTGCGATATACCTATTCCTACGCATCTTCATAATTAAACTAGGCTCTCCTCTGCTGGAGTCGTTGATTTGACTGTGGAGGCAATGTTTAATATTTTTTGTTTTTTTTTTTTATCTGTGTGTGAATGTATTTATAACTGCAAAGCAAAGCTATCTACAAGTATAAATGAACTTACTGTTCTGATGATCTAATAAAAGAGTTGTTTTTAACGTAGGTGTATACACTGAAAGAGCTCCCCATCTGATTGTAATGTCTCTTGCTTTGCTTCGATATCTCAGGTGAGCCACAAGATGGCTAATGTGACAAACGTGTATTGGTTTGCCCTAAAAACCCTGCCAAAGTTAGATTGGTTTGACCAAAAGATTGGTTGAACCCATAACTTCCAACGCGTTTAAAACCAAAAACTCTGGAAAAACTATTAGGTTTGAATACAATGACTAACATATTTCATTTTGCTTATCAATGCCAAATTTGCACAAACACTTTCACTGTCTGCTCGAGCTTATTTCACTAAAATGACAGAAAAGCAGCATTTTTCTCTTAAAAGACATTTTACACATAAACTTAAAAAAGATTGTATTATACAGGCATTAACAATTAAAAAGGAATATATATGGGGGAAATAAACAAGAAAAACAATTCAATTATATTAGTAACTGTAGTTCTACACTCCACCAGTAGGTGGTGAGATGTTCACATGAGGCTTCTTGCAATTTGGCCAAGCGGTTCAATGCCTCATGAGGCTTTATCTCACCATCACTAGTTCTAATGAAAGAAAGACAATGATGTTGGTGCAAAACAAATTTAAGTTTCTGTGCTAGCTGGACGAATGAACTATTAGTAACAAACCTGCTCTTCCATTTGAACAACTTAAGAACTGAATATTGTTTTTAAAATCACCCAGCACATCGGCAACAGGTCTGGGTGCATATAGTTTGCTAAACAACCGGTGGTATCACATTCCTAGAGGTCTGAGCAGCAGAGATCAGAGCCAGATCTAGCCAGGTAAACACTACTGACTTTACCTCCTAGCATCATTTCCTCGCTGCCTCAGCGCCCCGGATTAAAATAGACTAAAGCCGATTAGAAAGACATGATGATACACATACCACTGCGAGGAGCTATGCTCTACTTAATGGAGATGTCTGAAGGCTCCACAGGACAGAAATTCTAGTCAACTTCAGAGATCCCACCCAGCTAACATGGGCTAAGCTAACATTGGCAGCTTAGTAAGTAAACTAGTTAAACTAGCACTGCTAATCAACCGGTTCAAAGATAAATGTGTGTGTGTGTGTTTTTTTAGCAAGACTGTAACTGATCAAAATCGCCTGCTATTAATGCCGTTATGTAGCGAAACACACCCCCTTTACTCCTGAAGACATAAGCTCTATTAGTTCAATCTGAGTTTAAAGAGAGCAGAGCTAGCTAGAAGCTAGTCGCCTAAAGCTAATGCTTTTCTTTTAACGGAAGATGTGTCAAACATTCCTCAACACGCACAGAAAAAAATAAATAAATAAATGGGATGAATATAAACTTACCTGAGGATATTTACAAGGGCTATAAAGTTTTGTTGCAGCCTGATGGGGCGAGGCCTCTCCTCCGGGTCTGGAGTGACGTAGAGAGGAGGGGCGCGCGCAGTGCATGCTGGGATACCATCATACCCTCACACGGAGGTCTTCAACAGGGGGTCCGCGACCCCTAGGGGGCCCACGGAGGTACTGCACGGGGATTTGGACGATTAGACTTTTTTTTTATATTCCCCCCCTTGCAATTTTTTCCACTAATTGAAATGTCTTTAAATATAACATGAATTCAACACACTGTAGTAAACAGATAAATGGGGGCAGAAGATGTCTTTCAGTCATCAATGCTCACATTCAGTGACACACAGGAGCTCTTTCAAGCTGGGTACATTTTCATTCACACCTGTCCAGTCAACTAGGAATCAGAATCAGAAATACTTTATTAATCCCAGGGAAAAATTACTTTTCTTACATTACTCTATTACATTACTATAGGAACAGTGTGATATAACACAATTTCATACAATGTATAATTACGGGGTCCCCGCTCCATTTTGCTATCAGTTTGGGTGTCCTTGGCCTGGAAAACGTTGAAGACCGCTGCACTAACATACAATACATTGTATACACTTACAATAAACCCTACTTTATTGAATTATTTGTCTGTTTCTGACTTTTGTTCATTTGTTTTTGACTATTAGATTTGTCAAACTCAAGGCCCATGGGCTAAATCTGGCACCCAAAAAATTTACATTGTTAAAAAATAATAATAATTGAACTTTATTGATCTCACTTTGGAGAAATGTGCCTCTGAATTTAAACCATCTCTTTGTAGAGCATTGGGCTGCCATTAGGCGGCACTCGGGGAGCAGTGTGGGTCTTGCTCAGGGACCCAGAGTGCCAGTCTGTGGGAGTGGGGCTCGAACTCAGAACCTCAGGATTCAAAGCTCTATAGAAGGGGTAACCAATTGAAAATCAGCATATAGTCTGAATAAAGAAAATCAACAGCCAGTATAGGTCCGGATCTGTTACTTTAAACAGCATTTAACACTGAAATAAAATAGGGTGTTAAGGCATCCATGTTATGCATTTACTTTTTTAAATAAAAAAATATTAAAAAGAAAAAAATGATGATTGACATGTTTTATAAAACACCTGAACTGACCTTGACTGAGTTGTTTTTTTCTTTCTTTTTTGAGTTGGAAAACTTTTTTCTGCCTGAATTTTTTATTTTGTAATCATGTAATGATTCTTTAAAACACAATCTTTTGCACAAAATTATTCGTCTGATTAAATAATTTATTAACTAAGTTAGAGTTTTTGATTAAATAGTTACCTTTTTTTCCGGCCTTTTTAAAAAAAAAGTAAGATACTTTATCCAACTCTATTCAGTATCACGGTGCAAAGAAGTTCATAATCTCAAAATTCAAATAGCTTTAAGCTTATTTTGATGCTAAGTTGTGTATCGGTGATAGATTTGGTAAGCCATGTTTAAGACAGGACAATAACAATCTTTTTATTAGTTTATAAGAAAAAAATCCAAACTCACAAATTACAAACTGTTTAAAATCATCAGGTTTATTCAGACCATCGTCACAATGATTAGGTTGCACATTATGAGAAATTCAGAGGCAATGAGGAAATTAAAAAATTCACAAATAAAAAAAAATAAATATCAACAATGTAAGCTTCTTTATGCAAAAGTTTAATTTTCGACTTGTATTTAAGTATCATTAAAATCCACTAGGTGGCAGTAGCGCACCAGCTCCAGCATTGAGGAGGCTCTTTAGTTACCTTCATACTGTGTGCTTGAAAATCACGTGATTTATAAAACAACTTTGCTCCAAGATGCCTTCATGACATGTTTAAAAAAAAAAAAAAAAATACTGTTAAAGCCCAAACTCAGAAAATAAAAAAAATATATATATATTTATCATAAAACTATTGTACAGGCTGAGCCAGCAGCTGCAGAGTAAAAAGAAAAGCTTCATTTGAGCTGATAACTCCTGCCCACTTCTTTGTCTTGTCTTTCAGGAAGCTCCTGTGATATTCTGCAGGATGAGGAAGTGACTGCGTGGCATTTTGACCCTCATCACTTCGTCAGTCTATCTGAGCAGCTTATCATACCATTGATCTCATCCATGAAGTCAGTCCTTGCTCACCAGCAGCAGTGGGTTCACTTTGAAATCCTCCACAGGACTCTTAATTCTCACAGCCACTCTGTTTCTCTTGATGCCTGTCTGTTTAGAAATGGAGTTCATAAAGATCTTGTAAGGCTCGGTTTCAATAAAGCGTGGAAAGGAGCAGTTCTCCATCAGGATGTAGATTTTCTTCTCTGCCACTCTGAAGCAGGACAAGCTTGGCTTTTCCAGACTCTGTCTGATTGTCTCTTTAGTGTGGAAATCCAGATTAACCTGAGGAACGAGCATAGAATAAATCATATAAAGATACAATACAAATTATAAATAGTGAATTTTATTCCATTATTTTTGTAAGTAAAGAACAACTTTTGGAAATGGAATGTCTGGAAATAAAACAGAAAATCCCTCTTTGTTTTTTTCAATTTTGTCAAATTAAAATTAAGAGATAATCAAGAAAATTAAAAAAAATATTGTTAAAAAATTATTTTAACCTAAAGCAAAGCATTAACCTTAGTCATATTTTTGGACTGTGGGAGGAAGCCGGAGTACCCAGAGGGAACCCATGCATTCACGGGGAGAACATCCAATCTGCATGCAAGTATCGAACCCAGAGCCTTTTTGCTGTCAACAGTTGTAACTGCACAACACAATGCATCCCCCCAAAAATGTATTAATAAAGATAATTAGTAAATATAGTCTGCCTGCGTGAATGTGAATCTCAGTATGTTGCATTAAGGTTTCAGAGGGTTTTCACTAGTGTTGCACCAGTATCAAGCGGGGCCCCTATACAGCATTAAAAGGGTGGTATCATTATCGTACCGACAAATAGGGCACTGATACCATTTTCAGAACCACAAGTTTATTCAACTATTGCCACCTATTTAAAGTAGGCAATAAAAAGGATTCCCTTTGTATTAGTCTTTTTCCTGCTGCACAAAGGGAAGGCAGAAGCGTGACAAAGCCATGAGGGCAATTATTTTACATCCAACTAGTATGCAGTTCTTCATATATACACACACACAGATCAATTCCAAGCAGAATGTATCGGTATCGGATCGGTATCGGCCAATACTACACAGCCAGGTAACGGGTATCGGTATCGGAGCCAAAAAATTACATCAGAGCAACACTAGTTTTTACAGAACATTCATCAATAAACGGTACAATGAAGACCAACAAACACAGCAAACAAGTCAGAGATAATGTTGGAATGTATAAAGTATGGTTAAATTGTAAAATTACAACCCAAATTCATCTCACTAGCCTGGTCAGCCAGATTGATGTACACAGTCTTATAGGGATCAATACTGTGGTCTAAAGCTGACCGGACCAATCACAGCGCAGCAGGCGGGGCCATATTTCAACAGTGCTTTTATGTAACCATGACAATCAAGATTGTAGCTGCAATGGAGCAATGTTTTAAAGATGGCCTGCAAGAGAAGTTTTCAACAGCTGGTCACTGTGAGAGCTTTTGTTTGGAAAAAAAAGAAGATTTTTGCCTCACATTTGTACTCATGTTGGTCCCACCTAAAAAATCGGGCTTTACCTGCTCCTTTCCACCTTTCCAGACTAATATGCTGTGCACATTACCTAAGACAGTCTGGCCAGGCTGGCATTTTTCAGAACTATACTTAATCCATCTTCGAGAATTTGTAAAAGCAACAACTGAAAATCTACCAAGACCTGGCTGTCCACCTAAAAGGTAGAACCTTTCCATGAAAATATTAATTGGAGAAGCAACCAGTTGCCTTGGTGAAACTAGAGGAACTGCAGAGATCCACAGAATCAGCTGATAATTAGATAGATGCATTAAATACCCCTAAAAAAGATTTTTTTTCCCTAGTAAAACAAACCAAAGTTTGACCTTTTGGGCTGCAAACAAAATGCAATGTCTGGTATAAATTTAGATGCATCTTAAGAAAAGAAAGGGAGGCTGATTTAGAGCTGATTGGAAGAAAGATGAAGGTAATTACTATACGATTTGTGAAGGAAATGTGTTACAGGCTGAAACACTCCAAAAAGATTTTTGACATTCTGAAATATTGATTCACAAAGTAGTGGAAATGATTCTCCTTGGATTTCTTAATCAATTTTTTATGGGGTCTGTTAAAGTGCTTAAAGATATAACTGCATCATTTAATAAGGAAAAAAATCAACCACTATGGGGTTTTGATGCTGTTAATTCCTGTATGGAGGATAAAAAGTGCCAAAATTAAATAAATAAATACAGCATTAAATAAATAATTAAATGTGTCAATAATTAATTAAATGTGGAATTAAATAAATAAATGTGTCATTCATTAATTAAAACCACGTCACTAATAGTTAGGGGGCGGGGTTAACGCAAATCGAGTCTCTGTAATCGATTTGCTTCGCCTTAATATGCAGGGTGACCAATCAGGTGTTAGATAACCGCCCCCTAACTTTGATGGGTGAGTTTGACAGATTCTTAAATAATTAAATGCACACTGAAATAATTATATATATATTTTTTAATAAAATGAAGACGTATTTTATTAAATTAATGACACATTTATATATTTAATTCCTTATTTATTTAATGAATTACACATTTAATTAATTATTTATCGCTGTATTTATTTATTTAATTGTGGCACTTTATATTAGTGACGTGGTTTTAATTAATGAATGACACATTTATTTATTTAATTCCACATTTAATCAATTATTGACACATGTAATTATTTATTTAATGCTGTATTTATTTATTTAATTTTGGCACTTTTTATCCTCCATACTCCTGCTGTAGTTGGTCCTGCATGGTATTAAACACACACGCAGGCCACACCTTTCAGTGTTTTTATAAAAAAGTAATGAATCATTTCAGCCACATTTTACATTTAAATACAACTTGATGTTGGGCTATCCCTTATAGTCTGAAAAATTGAAAAAGACTTTTGTTGTCGTGTCCTAAGTAAAGCTATAAAGCTTAGGGACTGAATACTTCCCTTAATAACGATTTGCAAAGTATGTTCAGGAATAAATATCCTCACCTGTTTGGGGGAGTTATTCCTGATAAACTCGTCATAAATCCTCGCTGCCATCTGTGTCCGTCTCTCTTGACTGTCACACGTCTGATATTCTTTACAGGCGAGCCAGAAATCAAGGTTTTCCTCACAGAACTCCGTTTTCAAAAAGTCCCGAAACGCCCTTTGACCACCTTTAACAGAAAATGAACAGAGCAGCTTTATGAAGACAGCAGTAGCCAACCATGACATTACTTTTGAAATGCCTGAAAGCAAAAGGAAATTACTTTTCTTGGAAAGGACCGTCTCAAGAGAGTCTCCCAGTAGGTCCGTTTCATAGGTTTTCTCTCTGCAAAGAGGATAAAATACATACATATCTCTTTTTGAACATTATCACATTTTAAAGAAAAGTGCAATAAGTTCATCTATGGCAATAGATTGCTTAGAACACCAAATGCAACACACAAATCTCCACATTGCAGATAGTGAAAAGCAGGAATACTGAAGATATGTACGAGTCACACATGAAATAAAAAGCCTTGGGCGTCCCTTAAGGTATCCCAGATTTACTGCACTTACATTTTCCTTGTGTCCTTAAGGACTGTATGTGACTTCTTAAGGAATCCAATCATTGTCAAACTGCATCAACTTAACAATGAGTGAGTGATTGACTAAATCTCAGGGCAAGCATGATGCAGCTCTTTCCTGTGAAGAACCCCTTCACTCAGATTCCAGCATCTATAGTCCTCCACCTGAGGCCGACTTTCCGTCCCATAACACAGTAACTGAAATCAGTGCAAACCCAGTTATGCTCCCTTGTTGTACGGCTTCAGTGAGCTTTATGAATGCCTGACATAAAGAGCCACCAAATATTATCTTCCTTGTGGGTTATTAATAGAACCGTCTTGCTCAATGTTATAACACACACCCCATTCTTTCACATTTACAAGTGTGAACAGGGAGATAAATCTCCTTGTCAATCGACAATCCACTCAGATCTGTGCTATTCTTAGCGTCAGGTTCCTTGCTGAGGTATTTGGTTTCCTTTTTGTTGAAATTCCTCCAGCCTCTTTGGTTTTCATTGATTGTATTTTGAACAGTTTGTGAGTTTGAATTGCTTTATTATCCCTTTTTTTTCTATGATCCTACCTTAAATGTCTGGGGTGTATTGAGATCTAATAGAATAATGACTTTTAAGATTGTGATAGTGAAATCTGTCTCACTCACAGATATTCCCTCTCTGTCATTATGGGATATGGACTGGAATAATAAACCGAAGACAAACTTTTGCTGGTGAATTCAAAGAGTAACAGGAGCAATTGACAAAAAATAGCGAGTAGAACAGCATAAAACAATATTTCAACTCAACCAGCTTGTTCATCGGTTTGAAGCAGTTAGCCTCAGATGGTTAGTTGTAATAGACTTTCCGTAAAAGTAAAAAAAAAAAATCCACTGGACTTGGTTTCCAAGATTTGAAGACGCTTCGCTACCTCTCCAGGACACTTTCTCAATTCAAATGTCTGGATCTGCAGTGAGTCTTTGGGTGAACACACCCCCAACCCCATCACAGAGGAACAAAGTACCTCCACGCTCCAGCCGGTGAACAATATCTCCTTAACGACCGACCCTCAGAATCATAGACAGGTTTCAGATATTAAAGACTAACAATGGAACCAAACGACCCGCTAATCGGTTTCCATTTGCATGTTTCCAAGCAATACAAGGCGTTGTCTATATAAAGACTCAAACCTACTGCGGATCCAGACATTTGAATTGAGAAAGCTTCCTGGAGAGGTAGCGAAATGTCTTTAAATCTTGGAAACCAAGTCCAGTGGATATTTTTTGAAATTTTACGGAAATTATGACCTGGATGACTGAGAATCTTCATCAGCATGTAATAGACTTTATTTTAGAAATGTTTATTTTTGATGTAAATAAAATAAAGTAAAAAATACGGTAAGCTGTTTTGTTTTAATTCATTTAAATAAAGTATTGTCAAACGGAGGCAGCCATGTTGTTTATGCTGCAATGCATTCTGGGTAAATTATGCATTCTAGGTCCTGCAGCTTTGTCCAGCCAAAAAAGCAATGAGTATCATTAACATTTTCACTTTGAACCAGAGCACATTCAAATTGACAACGTAGAAATAGCAAAAAAGGTTAGGATAGCAGAAATGACCATTTTTAAGTTAATAGGAAAATCAAAACATATTTAAGGCCTCAAGACATTTTTATTTAAAATGGCCTTTGAACATTAGTTAGTACTTTATCTGTGTGGTTTTATGGTTATTTTACTGTTTTGTTTTTACTACATATGTTATTTTATTGTAATGTCTCGTTTTAACTATGTATGCTGTTTTTATTGTACAGTTTTGTTTTAACTATGAATTTTGTAGCACTTTGAAATTTTGTTGAAATGTAAAGTGCAATACAAATAAAATGTATTATTATTATTAACACTAAATGTTCAAATTACAATTACATTGGGTCCTTTTAAAAAGTTGTATAAATGTGTATAAATCTGGCTTTAATGTGATTTTCTATTAGGCCTTCAAAGTGCCAAAGAAAAGAGTGCAAAAAAAACCCCTTCAGTTGTTGAATATGGAAGTACTTTAACGGTCATTTAAAGGGGAACGCCATTTTTTTTTTTTTTTTACATTGGGCAAAACTGAATATCAAACAAAAAAATAACAAAACTGAAATATCTTCGGAACAGCTCCAAATAACACAAAACTCCTATGGGTGAGTAGAACATGATGTAATAACGTAAACTTAAGGGCCCAATGTAAAAAAAAAAATGTCGTTCCCCTTTAAAATTCAATAACATATTGTTGAAAATAATTTTTTTATGTTCTTTTCTGTCTACCTTAAATTTAAACAAGCATACAAATCATAAGATTTGGAAAAGTTAGAATTGGAGATTATTCTATTGCTGACTGGTTTTTATAAACAGAAAAACTGAGATTTAAAGTTTTCCCAAAACTATTGTCAGTAGCAGATCTTATTTCATTCTTGTCATGCATTGTTTTGTCCTGTGAACTCAATTTCATGCCTGCTAACTCTGATTCTTTGTTTCCATCCTTTGTTGTTATGACACCAAATATACCAACAGAATTAGTCACCGAATAATAAAAAGCTTAAACATGATAGGAGATCTGTGATATGAGTAAGCCTCTGTGATAAAGTTCTAACTGTATTTGGAAAAAAGGAAACATTTTTTTTTCCCCAAAGACAGATAAGTATGGGTCTTTCCAATCAACCCGAGGGTTAAACCCAGAAAAATGTCCTTTTGGATCATATGATTGAGGCAGAGCTTTCTGGCACTTTCTGGCATGCTGTTTGTACAAACAGGACTATGAAAAAAACAAGATCAAAGCTGTTTTTTAAGGATTTAAGAGAGGTAGCAATGTGCAGTTAATCATACTATTATATTTAATTTTAGCAAAGCACTGGTTATGGCAGATTTACAGCAATTTCAACGTTCTTACATTAAAGAATTCAAGAGCCCGGTCAAAGAAGCACGTCTGCTAAAGTTAATACCAGTAATATAACAAGGATTGAAAAACATGCTTGGGAAAAAAAAACAAAAACACCAACTTAAACTGATATTAGGCTGCTCGATGGGTAGCACTGCTGCCTTGAAGCAAGAAGGTTCTGGGTTCGATTCCCGGCTTGGTGTCTTTCTGCATGGAGTTTATATGTTCTCCCTGAGCATGTGTTTGTGTTCTCCACAGTGTTGGGCACCTTACTTTGAAAAAGTAATTGAGTTAGTAACTGAGTTACTCCACAATAAAAGTAACTAGTTAGTAGTAAAAGTAACTATTGCATTACTTTTGCGAGTGTATGAAATTAATAACTGGGGATGTCTAATTCTGAAATCCTGTGTTTGGGTTGTTATAGATACTGCAACATGTAGCTATATCCATCCATCCATCCATCCATCCATCCATCCATCCATCCATCCATCCATCCATCCATCCATCCATCCATCCATCCATCCATCCATCCATCCATCCATCCATCCATCCATCCATCCATCCATATTTCTCTTTCTCCATATAGGCTAATGATCGTTCACGCTCTCCGTAGTTCCCCTGTGGCGCGAGCACAGGGCGGCCGTTAGCGAGCATGCGCGTTTCCTGTCGCTTGCGCGGTGAATCGTGCCGCCGCGCTGTGCGGAGATGCAGGGGAAACCGTATCTGATGGGGAAACGCAGCTCGACGTAACACCAGAATTTCCATCTGGAAAACGCTGTTTTGCTGCTGGAGTCCTCCTCACTCTCCATCCTCCCCTCTCTCATGACGCACGCACGAGTCCTATCATGAAAAAAGGTTAATTGTGCGACCTGAGTAACCTGCAGTAACGGGGTGTCGGCAATTGTAACTACGTTATAGTTACAGTAAGAGTAATAATTTTGATTACTCATTACTAAAAAAGGTAGCGGCGTTAGTAACGCCGTTACTTTCAACGCCGTTACTCCCATCACTGGTTCTCCAGGTACCCCAGCTTCCTCCCACAGTCCAAAAAGATGACTGTTAGGTTAATTGTTTTCTCTAAATTCTCCTAAGGTGTGAGTGTGTGCGTGAATGGTTGTTTGTCCTGTTTGTCTCCATTTTGCCTTGGGATGGACTGGTGACCTGTCCAGGATGTACCCAGCCTCTTGCCTACTGACAGCTGGAGATAAGCACCAGCACCCTTTGCAACCGACTGGGATGAGAGTGACGGAAAATGGATGGATGGATGAAACGTTATAAGGGTATATAGCCTATGAGTTTTGTTGGAGGAAATGGAATGGATAATTTGGGCTTGCTTTACCACCATAGCTCCCACACTCTCTCTGAGATGATGATTAAGTTAAAAGGAGTGAATTTTGGCCCATTATTTTTGTATGCTATAAATGGAATTTTGAAAAACTGTATGCAAACTAGAAATTAATCCAAACATATTCCGAATCAAAACGGTTTTGGGGGGTTTTCTCAGATTTCTTTTCTCAAATAATAATATCTGAAAACATTTAAATGTGTTTTTTTTTATTAAATATGTATTTTTTTTATAGCAAATTGATCTTTAGAGATCATAAATCTTTCACTTCTGGGGCATAGTTCTAAAATCTGAAGTAAAGAGAGTTTGATCTGTTGAATAAAATTAGAAAAAAATATAATGTGTAAGGCTCAATTTTAAAATAAAATATAAAGAAAATATGATTTAAAAGAATCCAAGAAAACAGCAAAGATTCTGTCAAGCTTTTTTTGAATGATATGTTTTTTTATTTTTACAATCTTTAATTTCTGGATTGCATTTTATAATAAATTTCCATTTACAAAATGTGCTCTCTCCAATAAAAAGTTCTAGAAAAAAATTAACCCAGAAGTGTCAGAAGTTAACAGGAGTTTTCTTGTATTTAATGTGCTTTAATTTAGTTTGAGAACTTAACAGTAGCACTAATTAGCTAAAGCAACTTCTAAAGGATCCTAAACAGAGTGATAGATGCAAAAAAGATAAGAATGTATGACACTTTGGGCTAGTCAACATCCAGACCACAGCCTGACTGGATTCTTGTGGTGGGAGGTGAAGAAGTTACAAAAAAACAAACCTGTCGGCAAAACTTAATGAACTAAAGCAACATTGTTAAGAAGATTCCACAATGATTTGAAGGGTGGATGAAATCGCAAAGAAAAACTCCAGAGGTTCATCTGCTTCCTGATTGGGTGTGTATATTCTTTTTAACAAAGATTTTTGACTTTTGCATCCCCATTGCTTTACTAATTCATATATAAGGAATTTGTTAGACAATGTAAAACTCAGAGACCCATAACTGTAATTATAT